CCTGGGTCCAGCATGGAAGAGCCTCCAATCATTCCAATCGCGCATTTTTTTCTACGACAGATAACGAAAACAAAGCGATCTTTGCTTTTCAATACATACTGCAAACTCGTGGATCAGGTGTTCGCGATGGCTACGGCCGCGAAGGCTCAGCATTCGAAATTCGATGCCCAGGTTAGTAGTGCCAATCTGCGTCTATGGATTTGCTGAAGAAATAGTCTTTCAACCCCGGATTGAATGTCGTATATCCAAATGATGAACAATCGTCGGTCAAGTTATCGGCCAAGGTCGAGTATGTCACCGTCCATGCCACTTTGAACTTGAATAACATATGCTGGCAGAATCATTGCCATCCCTGGCCTTGGAGCGGACCCTGAATACACATGGAAGAAAGACAAGGTGCATTGGCTGCGAGATGCCAACATGCTGCCAAAAAAGATTCCACATGCCAAGATTAGCGTCTTTCAGTACCAATCACAATGGTTTGGGAAGGGGTCTGTCGACGAACGGATAGACAATGTGGCAAACAAGCTGCTTCACGGTCTAGATCGCTCAAGAGTAGTGGGTGTTGAATGTCATCCCATCTGATTCCCTGCTGATATCTACCAAGAACGAAGCAAAGACGCCTATCATCTTCATTGCTCATTGTCTGGGTGGCATTATCTTAGAAAAAGCCCTACTCATGGCACGATCGCGTCAACGGGACTTCCCAAATGTCTACCCCTGGGTCGCTGGTTGCTTCTTCCTAGGCACTCCGTTTCATGGCACATCCAGTCAGTCAAAAGCACTAGTTTTGGCATCCATGGCTGAGCTTGCTGGCTGGGGCACTCCATCATCTCTTCTAAAGGTCCTTGAGAAAGACTCGGAGATCCTACGAAGTATGCTTACCGAATTTTCTTTCATGGCAAGAGACGCTCAGATCCGGTTACTCTGCTTCTGGGAAGAGAACGACAGTGATCTTTTCAACTACATGATAAAGGGTACCTCGTGGCTTAAAAAAAAGGAGCGCATTGTTGATCAAGATTCTGCGACCATCGAATCATTTGAGAGTCTCTCTCTCATGTCGGATCACTTCCAATTGAACAAGTATCCTGGACCAAAGGATGGTAATTTCACTGCTGTATCTGATGAGATCAGGGAAATAGCGAACAAAGCAGACAGCATCATCAAGACGCGCCAAAACATGCTGCGGCAATCGCAGGTAGATGACCGCACGTACCATAGTATGATAGACGCTTTGGGAAAAGGATTTGTGGATATTGAAGCGGCCATGAAGGGCTCCTACCGGGAAGCGAAAAGCGCCAAGCGCTCATCAATTCTGGAACTGACCAGTTTCCAGCAATGGAGAACCTCGGATACCAATCATGTCTTCTGGATTCATGGAAAGGCCGGAACAGGCCAAGGGGCTATCGCATCTTCGGCTCTAGAGTACCTGAAGCAAGGTGTTGACCACAACTCGTTAGTTGCATCTTTTTACTGTGATCAAAGTGACAGGATGAGGCGTACTCTGAAGGGTTTATTACAAATCATTGTTCGTCAGTTACTGGATATCGACCAAGACCTTGCACGTCACCTTCTCCTGGACTCTCGGGGCAGCAGAGATGTCGCGAGCCAGATATTTGACCCGGAAGAAATGCTGAAGATACCTGCATTATGGACAGCCCTGCAAAAAATGGTTGAGGATACCCGCAACTCAAGGATATACATCATTGTGTATGGCGTAGAGCAACTGGCTGAAGATTCTTTGGAACACTTCCTTGCATACATGGGAGGAGCGATTAAGCCCACAACCGCGACCCACAACGACGGGGATTTTCGGCCTATCAAATGGCTCCTACTTAACCGCAGTGGTCGCCCGAGCATCGAGAAATGTTTGAAGGGCCAGGTTCCTGAGATTGATCTTAACGATGCAGACAACTCCGCTCAAGTTAGCGACGACCTAAAAGCACACATATCTGTGCGTGTGGATGAACTTGCTCTTCCAGCTTCTTTGGCATATTTTGTGAAACGTCACATCTACCTTCGCGCTGAAGACAACTGGATCTATGTCAGTCTCGTCGTACGTGAATTGAAGAACGCATGGAAACCAGGACGTACGCACTATGCCGAGATTAGGAAACTGCTAGAGTCATTCCCATATGGCCTCACTGACATGTTCGAGCACATCCGAAAGCGGATTCTCAGCCCACAAGCCGAAGGATACGAATACACAAAGGAGATACTGCGCTGTCGAGTCCTATCATACATAGCCCCAACGATGCGAGAGCTTGCTGTCATGGCTGGATTACCTCATGAGGACCTAGAAGATCTTGAGAAGCTGAAAGAATACATCGTACGATGTGGAGCATTCCTTACCTTGAGAGGCAACGACTGGGATCTGGACAACAGTACTGTTGAATGGATCGACATATCTGCTGCGGAACACCTTGCGATATATGCCAAGTATGATCTTTCGCTGGACCTCGACGATGTACAGCACGGTATCATTGCTCTGCGTTCATTGGAGTACATTTACCAGGCCATCAAAGTACAGGATGTATCAATCGACCATGCCGAGCAAGAAGAGACCGAGGCAGCCGTTGACGCAGAGAACACACCACGTGGAGCAGATACTGACACTGATGAGTCCGACTCTGATGACATGAGCAATTCATCCTCAGCACAGGGAGATGACGAGACTGAAGACCTTCTTGATGTCGACCTCAGATACCCCGTTCGCTACTGGGTAGAACATGCGAAACGGGCGCCGCCCGATGTTCTTGAGGAATTCAACTTTAGCCACCCCTTTTGGCAGAAGAACTCGGAAGCTCGTCAGAAGTGGTGGAATACTATCCGGGAAGTACACGGTATGGAAGGCCAGCAAGATATTTCCTCCCTTCACGTGGCAGTGATTCTCGAATTTCCCGCTTTGGTTGATCACCTGATAAACCTCAACGGAACCCCCAACATACATGAGCAAGATTCCTTAGGCTTTCAACCTCTTTACTATGCTTGCGAAAACGGAAACGAAGAAATCATCAACATTCTGCTTGGTGCAGGTGCAGACGTTGATTTCATAAGCTCTGATGGAAGCCCAACAGCATTGCATGCTGCCTGCAGGAATGGCCGTTACGACATTGTCAAAATCTTACTGGACCGTAACGCTAACGTAAACTCTCCATCTCCTGAATATGGAACGGCGCTCTACGCAGCTGTTGGTAGTCTTGATAACCGCATTGTTGAGCGTTTGCTGGATCATAACGCCGAAGTAAACATTCCTGGTGGACTGCACCGACGAGCACTGAACCTCGCCGCCTTTTCTGGAAATCTGGATGCCGTGCGTATTTTGATTGAACGGGGTGCAGAGATTGACCCCAATGAGGAGTACTGGTACGTAACATTCATATCTGAGCCAACGCCAGAGCGCATACTGACTAGAAACTACCAACAACTAGGTATGGCTCTGCACTTGGCGCAGCTGTGCGGCGCGGACACGCTGCTGTTGTCCGTCATCTTCTTTCAAAATCGTGGAACCCCCATCTTCATATAGAAACTTACAAAAGTTTCCTGATCGCTGCAGCCACCTACAATCACTTGGAGGTTTTTGAAATATTATTGAAAGATGAACAACGAGTTTTGATTCTGGAACAAGCCCTACAGGCAGCTGCTCAGAAAGGCTACGATTCAATCGTGGCCGCGATATTGAACCGGGATTCGGAGCTCTCATCTTGCTCCCTGAGACATCAGAGGTCATTCTCACTAGCGGCTTTCTACGGTAGAACGGAGGTCTTGAGATTGCTGTATCCCCGAGGGATCGACCAAGCACAGCTCAATAAGGCCTTGTACGAAGCTACCGACAACAAACATCTCCAGACTGTTAAGCTTCTTTTGGAGTTTGGTGCGGATCCAAACGTCGAAGGTCCTATGTAAGTGTACCAAGCACGTATCGTAATTAAACGCTAACCGATTTCAAGTTACGGATTCGCATTAGCAGCTAGCGCGTAAGTTTGAGCTATCTTTGAGACTTTGGAGGATGATGGATTATTTCTTCAAATATCCCTCCAGCGAGCTTTCTGCGAGGGGTTGCATACTAAATTTTCACTTTCTTCGGACTACGTACTTCTGGCCACTACCTCAGCAGAATCTTTAAGCTTACGACTGGCCATTGAAATCATGCTGACAATAATTTAGGTACGATGGCACAATGGAAATCATGAAAGCTCTGCTGGATAAAGGAGCTGATGTCAATAAACGCGGAGGGGACTATGGTACAGCTCTCCAGGTACGTCCCGAGATCAATGGAGTAGTCTCTTGATGCTGACTCCCCAGGCGGCTGCATGGTTCGGCGATGCCGACAACGTCAAGTTGTTACTGGATCGTGGAGCCAAAACCAATACCGAACCCATTGGTTACTACGGCCATGAACTACAAGGTACATATCCCTTTTTGTAACAGCGCTTCTTGCTAACCTGCGATATCTAGCCGCTGTGCATACAGGTAATGAAGCCACCATTCGCCTTCTTATTGAACATGGGGCGGATGTTAATGCCTTTGGGGGCCACTTTTCATACGCCATCATTGCAGCAGTTGAACAAGGTGATAGCACTGCGACCAGGATTCTGCTCGAACACGGTGCTCATGTGAACGTACGTGGCGGCGAAGACAACTGGCCCGTCATCTCGCTCTCTGCATCCACTTTACTCACAGAAGATCTGGAACTTATCGTCAAGAATGTTTCAGACATAGATGCAGCCTGTGCGAGGGGAACAACTGCCCTGATCAACTGCGCAGATGCATGCGATATCGAAGGCTTGAGATTTCTATTGGCGCATGGCGCTGACGTGCATATCTCGAGCGAGAAATATGGCACTGCACTTCACGCGGCCGCGTAAGTATCTCGCCTTGTAGCTTAAGCATTGCTGACAAGAATATAGCGCCGAGGGTGACGAAGATTGTTGCGAAGTCCTGCTAGAAGCAGGCGCCAATGTCAACGCCATCGGAGGTCCATATGGAACAGCCCTGCAGGCCGCTGCGTGGGCCGGAGACATTGAGACTATCCATGTCCTTGTTAAGGCAGGTGCCGATATCACAATTACTGAACCCATTTCTGGAACATATGGAACAGCTCTCCAAGCCGCATGTGCGGCTGGCTGGTTAAATGTTGTGCAAGAACTTTTGAAGCACAATGCCGCAGTTAACGTCCGACCAGCTAATGGCATGTTTGGAGGAGCACTGTCTGCAGCTGCAGCTGGTGGACATACAAAGATCGTCAAGCTTCTCATCAAACATCATGCCGATGTAAACGCCAGTGGAGGTCTTCATGGCTTTCCGATCCTTGCTGCTGCCCAGTCTAGTGTTTTATCCGTCGTCGAGTGTTTGCTCAACAACGGCGCAAACGCTACAGCTTCAGGAGGCCTGCTTGGGTCGACTGTGGCAGCTGCTGTCAAAGGTAACAACATTGAAGTTGTCAGAAAGCTAATAGAACACGGAGCGGATGTTCATGCGAAGGGAGGTAAATACGGCGACGCTCTTCAGGCTGCTGCAATGAAAGCCGAACTCTCCATGATTGACGAGATTCTCGACAGGGCAATCGAGCTTGTTAACCATAAAGATGGAAAGTATCATACAGCTCTGATTGCAGCTTCTTACTTCAACCGTATGGATGTCGTCAACAAGTTGCTGGACGCTGGAGCAGATTTCCGCCTTCAAGGAGGGGTTTATCGGAGTGCCATCGCTGCTGCTTCCATCCGTGGCAACAAAGCTATCCTGGATCGATACCTGTCTATGAAGCCTCCGGATCATCTGCTCGATGGAGCACTCGTTGAGGCTTGCGCCTATCGCCAAGCTGCTTGCGTAGATGCATTGCTTAAAGCAGGTGCTAATGTATACACTCGCCATCCAATTCGGGGGTCCGCATCTGATGCTATTGATGCACCTGAGGAAGAAGATTACAATTCCGATATAGAAGAAGACAACTTGGATTCAGACGCTGGATCGGAAAATGATGAAGACGAAGATGAAGACGAGGAAGAGAAATGGGAAGGTGACAACGTCTTGGTATCCGGCCAGACGGATGCGGGCAGTGTAACAGACTTGCAACTGGAAGAAGATGTTTCAGAAGAGGCGAAAATCAGGAAGTTATTGAAGGAGGCCCAAGACCGCTGTAAGCGCAACCCGACCGTCAAGCGTTTCAGAACAGTAAAATATGGCCACATTCCATCGCGCCTGAGTGTAGGATCACGTCCTCGTTCGTCGGTACCACCACTGCCATCAAATGCGAGCCATGATACATATAAAGCTGTAGATTCTGCAGACCGCTACGGAGCTTCATCCGGCCAGCACTCGCAGAGTTCATCGAGCCTACCTTATCATATACGATCAAGAACTACAGAAACCATAACTGAGGTCGAACACGAAACACCATATCCTTCAATCGGCGCCAGGGGAGGTACATTTCCGCTTGAAAATTCCACTTATCAGGATTTCGATGTACAACCGCCGGGTCCTTTGCGCAAAAAAACTCCAGAGACCATTTTCCCGCGACGTGAATCTGCTCCGTTGCCTAATTCACAGCGACCAAACCCACTGGCAGGGACTTCTATTGCACCTCAGCCCAATGCACAACCCTTAAAGAAAGGTAGTGTCGATCATGCGCTCAAGAGGCAGAGCAAAGTTGTCACCCGGAAATCTATTGCGAACTTGGAAGCGCTCACTCGGCATCAGCAGCAACAGCGACAGTCAAGCTACTCGATGGATAGGCCACCCTTGCATTCTTCAATCTCTGAACAAGAACATGCAGCAGACAGCCAGACTTCTCGTCCATCACCACACCATATGTCCGGCTCCTATGATTCACAAATCAATCCCGTCGGCATAAGAAACGAGCCATATCACACACCAATTCCGTATCGACAATCCCAGCACTTCGTTCAATCGCAGCCATATGGATATCCAGGACTCTCACAACCAACGCAAGGACCATATTGCCCTTATCCACAAGGCTCTCCTGCACAACAACCCTATCTACCTTATCCCCAACATGCTGAGATTTCGTCTCCAGTATCGACCCAAGGTAGCCAGTATACAGGAAGTAGTAGCCAATACCAACCCTGGGATACCCCTCCTTCAAGCGTAAGCGGCTTCACCAGCACGCAAAACACGAACGAAACGAGAGAAAATCGATGGGCGAGCGGAGGATATGATGGGGAAGGATACGACGGCGAAGGATACGGCTGAATAGCCAACAAAAACGTTCTAGTCCACACAACAGCTCTTTTCATGGTTAATCTCGTACATCAATACATCGATACCCCCCTTCTCTTCCCCTTTCTCTCTCTCTCCGTCTCAAATTGTAGCCAGAAGAATCAGTTAAGCAAGCTTCCCCTCCCTAATAAGCCGACTCAACGTCTCATTCCCCACCGTCCACTGCTTAAACTCCCCCGCATACTTCTCCACTAACAAATCGCTCACCAGCCGCCCAAACACCACCTCCCCCCACGGATTCAAATGCGTGCGATCCCTCGCTGTCGACCCGTCTCCCACCCAATTATACGTGTCTGCACCCGCTTGCCCAATCGCGTTGACGTACGCTGTCGACGCTTTGTTGAGGTCGATGAAGTGCAGGTTGCTTGACGTGGCGACGTCGATTGTGAGTGCGCTTTCTTTAGCGAGGTTTTCGATGACGCGTTTAGTGGTTGTGTTGAAGGTGCGGCGTGTGAGAGGTGTGACGAGGATGGGTGTTGCGCCCGAGTTCTTAACTTCCGAAGCGAAGGTTGCGAGGTTGGTGCGGTATTTGGTTGGGGTGACGCCTGAGGTTTCTTTTTGGTCGTTGTGTCCGAACTTCGTTACCATTAGCTTGAATCTTTCTTAATGGTTTTTGAAATGGCGAGGGTAGTACCTGGATCGTAACGTAGACTTTGTAGTCTTTCTTGTAGGTTGATATGTCTTTGATTACTCGGCCCCAGTCGCCTCCAGCGCGGAAGGATGCCGTTGTTGCACCGCTGTGTCCGTAGTTTTTGCCGGAAGATCCTGGCGCGACGGTCTTGGAAAGGAATGCATCGCCCCATCCCCCATTGGTGGCTGTTGTTGAGTCGCCGGCTAGGAGCCAATATATGGGTTTGGCGGCGGCATCGCGTAAGCTACTTGGTGCTGCTAGAGAAAGAGGAAGTAGGGATAGTAGGGCAAAACGCATGGTTAGGCCTGTGATATTTCCTCTTCTTTGGAAATCCGACAACCGACAAAAGATGTCGATTATTTAGGGTAGTAAGAAAGGCCCTGCTTGCGACAGTACATCTTTACATCTGTAGTCCTCTCATATTTATACCGCTGACGGCGGAAATAGCAGTAGATATCTTCCATCATGTATTTAATCTATGGGATTCATACTAGATCATCACTATACTCTCAATAGTATAAGAGCCGGTTCTATTGTCGGCAGTTCTTCCTAAACTAGTCGTAGAGATACTAAATAATTCGTGCAATTACTTTGGCGGGGGAAACACTGCGGGGGTGCATTGCCGATCGCCAGGAACCTCGCGGTAATTTGATCCGAGAGATCCATCTTTGAGAATAGGTGCTCATAGTGCAACGTAGGTACGCTGTTTGCTTATAATACGGACAAAAGAGTTTCTGATAAGCAGAGTATATGGCTGCCGCATGGATGTGATTGATTAAACATTTGGCGGCTCACGAACAAAGACGCCTTAGGAACTGCAGGACAGCGTTGCCGTATGCATCCACACAAAAGACATGATAAGTAATCGAATTGCTCTCATCTTCGAGTAAGTAGCAATATTCCTTGTCTCCTAATGAAATGTCTGAAAAGGGATAGAACTAAACGGCACGGAAGCTAGTTGGGACGCGAGATCCGATCCGTCCCTGGCTTGCCAGGCAGCAACACAACTCAAAATCATTTAGCAGGCCGTCTCGAATATACCTCATCTTCCCAGTTGATTTAATCAAGTTTTCAAAAGAAAATTTTAATTGAAAATATGTTCTTCACCACCGTAGTATCGGCCGTTCTTCCACCGGTACACTTACTGGCTTACTCCGCTTTGATTGGGACGGAACTATATCAGACCTTCGTGGTAACGAAGATTACTTACAGGACTTTGCCCAGGCCGGCATTTGTGGGTTTGCAAAAGCAACTCTTTCCAGCCTACTTCAAAGCCCAATCGCTGCTTTTACTCGTCGTGGCGCTGACACGTCCACCTTACGGACCATTCTCGTCATTCGGGGAACTAGCCAGCTGCATTCCTTTTGTAATCGCCGGGGTGACTACAGGATTGAATTTGGTCTTGTATGGGCCGCGGACTAGGGCTCTAATGATCGAGAGGGCAACTCAAGGTATGTAGAGCTCCTGTGTAATTGTTGCTCGAGACCGTAACAACAGGGTCTTTGAGGCGAATTTCCAGTGGCGTTTTCGTACGACGTAGGACTAATGCGAAGAATAGCCACACGCGATTCAAACTTGCATAGTGGTCAAGGTGTAAAGAGTGAGGAAATACTTGTGCTTAACAAAGCGTTTTCTCGTGCGCATGCAATGAGCATTCATTTGAATCTAATCACAATTGGCGCAACGCTTTGGTATGGGTGGCAGCTGGCTTCAAAGCTGCAGTTTTAGGGCTATTGTGATCTTCGCAAATAGACGAGTGAAGGGATTAGCGGGCTTGTTAACTCAGAGGTAGAAGGAGTGCGAATATCAGGAACTCAGAAACGGACAACGGGTCATTGTCGAAGGCCTCCTGCAATGTATCTTAGGAAATCACCTTGCCTGGTTAGTCTTGCGGATATAGATAATAGAAAAGCCGATAGATCTTTTTTTCCGTTGAAAATGTCTTAGATGATAGTTGCATCGTTAGAATGGAGACGGGATTGTGTGTAACTTGTAAGGCAACCACGGGTCCCCGCGTCTCCACTATCATCCCAAAGCAGCTAGACTGGTCGGGGAACGGGTAGGAGCGTTTTGTCCGTTCCGTGTCGGGTCGAACACTCTCCCCGATCCTCTACTTTTGCTGCAACATTCACACAAACAATTTTGGATGCAGGAAAACGAGGGGCATTCCGCTGCGAAAGCGGAGCAGCCAAGGACTCTTCAAGCGTGTCAGCGCTGTAGGAATTTGAAAACCAAATGTTTGCCGAGCAGCCAATCCGGTCGATGCCAGAGGTACTGCTTACTCCACCATAGCTATGGACGCGAAAGTTCCTCAAAGATAGCTCAATTATTTCAGGAATCTGCTAAAATACCGTAGATGTTCCGCTTCCGGAAACGAGTGCGTTTGGGCTGACGCGCCCCGACGAGCAAGAAAGCTACGTGCCCCTTCGTAAGTCGGCGTCCGCCATCAGCATCTCCTGGGTCTTACTCCATTCAGACGCATTGCTCAAGTTGAACAAAAGATTGATGGGCTTGTAGCCAAACTTGTTTGTGCATCTGGAAATGAAGCCACGGCTAGTTCAGCGTTCGTTCCACCTACCGTTCCGCCAAGGGCGACAAAACCAGTTGTCCCAGGAGGCTGGATGTCTATTGAACCCCAATCAGAAGCACGCTTAGGAAAACATTCTGATGATGCTGAAGTTGATCGCCAATACCTCGAAGAAATCCGTGGCATACATGGCTTCGATGATCGACAAATTGCAGGTCAACCTTCTGAAGGTCCGTTCAGGCCGACAAAGCGACTCGAAGACCCCATAGATGATGAGCTTGTCCAGAGTCTGCTTGCTTCAGGCGAAGCAGAATCGTTGATGAAAGAATTTCGTTCCATGTCGGTTACATTTCCCTTTGTTGTTATATCTCCACAACTCTCCGGTGCCGACTTGCATGCAGAGAAGCCAATGCTTTTCCTTGCCATAATGACAGTAGCGTCGTGGAAGGATTACTCGCAACAGAGGAGGCTTGACACAATATACCGTACGGAACTCGCTCATCGTACAATATTCCGTCCTCGGAAGACGCTCGGGCTAGTACAGAGCGTCCTGGTTTATCTGTCCTGGTACGTCTCCTCTACGTGTATGGCTTACGATATGCTGAACACCAAAGGTACCATTTTGTTTTCAGCCACAAGACGCAACAGATCTTCTTCCTACACCACCTTGTGATTGGCCTGGCACTTGACATTGGTCTCCACCAGGATTACCAACCAATCGACTTTAACCCTCCACTACGGGGTAGGCCCCCACCGCCATCTGGAAAAGAGGTACGAGAAAGGCAAAGATCATTCTTGGGTTGCTACTACGTTTCTTCCATGTATGTTCTTCTCAAGGAGTGTTTGATACTTTGTTGACATTGTGCAGGGTAGGCGGTGCTTTTCAAAAGCCGAATCTGCTCAAGCATACACGTTTCATGACTGAGGCGGCTGAAAACTTGGGAAAAGAACTAGAGCATGAATCTGATGAAGTCATAAGCCACTTGATCTCCCTGCGACAGATTGAGGAACAAATACAAGACATTCTGTTTACAGCTGATGCGGCGCAGCTGCCACTATCTGATGGACGCATGCTTATGCATTTGCGTTCTATAGAAGGTCAGCTTGATGCATGGAAAGCACAATCCTGTTGCTCTGCATCTCAAAGACGTAAGTTCCTTTCTACATCTGAGGAATTATATGGACTTTGCTAATAGCATACAGTGCTCGAGCTTTCCTTCTCTTTCAGTAAGACACTGTTGCACAGCGTCTCCCTTCGCCCACATGCATTGAACGTTCCCCCGCCACCGCAATCGGTACAACTTAACTCTTTGTTCTCTGCACTTGAGGCTGGCAAGAAATTCTTGGATACTCTTTTATCTTTTCCAGCTAACGAGTACCATTTCATATCCTTCTCTGAGTGGATGCGTTTGCCGTCGGTCATCATGACGGTAGCTAGGCTGTGTATGCCTAATGATGGCCATGCTGCCTGCGGCTGGGATGCACAAGCAGCTCAGGAGCGAGTGCGTCTTGAGCTGTGTCTCGAATCTCTTTGCTTCCGGATGCAAAAATTATCAACGTACGACGAGGTGAAGCAGCCCCACAGCGACTTCTGGCGAGCGATGTGTTTCATGATGGACTTGACGAAGACTTGGTATATACGTAAGATCCGACCGAAAGCACCAATAAAAAAACCCATGCAGCCTCCACAAAGGGCGACGACGGAGGCAGGTACGGCCGAAGCCTGGTGTCCAAACTCTGTCATGTCAACTGCATGCCCCATGCATGGATCAGAGGCGCAGTACCCCGCACTGGCTGATGCGAACTTCACGTGCGAAGGCAGTGCGGAGATGGATGGCGCTGCCAATGGGAGCAGTGACCCGTTTGCGCTAATGAGAAGTGCAGATTTCGACATCGAGCAGTTCTTCGATATGGCCGGAGGCATCTGGGGCGACCAATGCTACGACAGCTACTCAGACATGGCTTTTGGTAGTGGTGCGTCATTCTAGGATTTGTTAGGGAAGATCAGATGATTAGTCTAGCGCTACACACTGGGAAAAGAAATTACTAGCCTCGGCATTTGTCACGCAACTCTTTTCGCAAATGAATCCAGGACAGCCCTATACCACGTGTTGTTAATCCCAGCGACCACACCTCTCTATGTAACCCGAGGGCACCAACTTGGTGCACCCATGACAGAGCATCACCACGGGGTAATGGTAAGATGGACCAAGTGAGAAGAGAGGATAGCCGTACACCACTCGAGCTTTACGCTTGGACCTACTCGCATACCAAGATGAAATATGATTGCTTCGGACAACTCGACCACATTTGTGCAAGTTCTCGGTGGCTTACAGCGTGACCGAAGCATACCACAATCGAAGATCCAGATGCTGGCGATCAGTGCCAGTTCTTATCCACTGAAGAACGCTACTGATGAATCTTGGAAAGCATAGGTACGGATAGTATTCACGTTACACATCCCTATTTGTTGGTCTGAGAGCTTGGGATAGCTTAGGTAGTAGGGGTACGAGTAGGTTAGTTCTTGGTTCCCGGCAGTATATGTAGCATGGGTGATCACCCTTACGCTAAGGCAGTTCACGAGATGTCAGGTTAGACACTAAAGACGCAACGCTCTGGCTCGCGCCCCAACCGCGAAAACGTTTCTGGGCGCTTCATGCGCATGGCTTAAGCACTAAATGCTAGCATGTGAGACCTTCTTACGAAGGTCACGTGCTTGGTGCCCTACACGGATAGTAGTTTCCGCACTGCTGCTTACCATTCTTCGTCGCTCTAAGCTGACAGCTAGTAGGCTCCATCCAATACCAGCTCGCAGCCTCTCTCTATCCAACCACCCCTCAAGTCAGCATTGCCAGGCACGAGTGCATCTCCCGTGCTTCTTTGACATGGGCCTTCCCGATCGGGCCGAAAGATGGTGGTGATGGTTTCCGCCCTCTGGTTGGCCGCCACGATTTAACTGCCATTGCTGACTCTTGGCGAGCAGGCGCCGACCGCTAACCGGTTTACCTACCCCGGCAAGACCATCGCATGTGTGACATCAGCTGGATCCTTGTATTCACGCCTTGAATTCCACGTCGTTGACGACGCGTTTTGCTATCATCCATGTATAAAATCTCTTTGTTATTTCATGCATTACGCGTCTAAGAATTGACTTCACCTTGAAGCATCCTTCACATCGTCGTCTTCTTCTTTTCCCTCTTCGCATTTCAAAGAACAGCGCCCTCAATATATTTATCCCTATTTTTCTTTTGCTTCTACGCCTGCTATCCTAGTCATTGACAATAGTCCAACATGAAGGCCTTCAAGAGTTTCTTGAAAAAGCGTCGCCAGAGCTTTCAGAACCGCAAATCGAAACCAGTGGAACAACCTTCCGCCCCTACCAAAGTCGACAGTCCCATCGAGACGCCAGCACCAGCACCAGCGCCGGCGCCGGCGTCCCAGGCCAATGGTGACCAACAGCAAGTATTAGCTGAAGCCGCTCCTGGAACTCTTCAGCTCGCACTCCAGAACAAGTCCAACTCCAGCACGGTATATGCATACATCACAGGTCTTGCCCTCGAGCGGGGAAATACGCCAATTTTTATCCAGTCAGACGGCCAGACTGTGTACTATCCTGTAGCACCCAGTGAAATCCTGCAACCACTCCAGGCTGACGTTGCCATTCCGCTCGGTAATCCCGGGAATACTGTTAATGTCAGAATACCAAAGATTGCTGGTGGTCGCATCTGGTTCAGCATTGGCGCGAAGCTCACCTTCCGGCTCAACCCCGGCCCTGCTGTCGTCGAACCAAGCGTAACCAACCCTAGTGATCCAAACTTCAACATCGACTGGACCTTCTGCGAATTCACCTACAACGATGCACAGCTTTTTGCTAACATCAGTTATGTCGACTTTGTCAGCATCCCAGTTGCGATGAGCCTCACCAACACCCAAGGTCGAACGCAGAGCGTTCCAGGCATGGGTCCTGATGGACCGAAAATGTTACAGGATAGGCTACGCGCCCAAGCACAAAGTGATGGGCGCCCTTGGGACAGGTTGATCTACGAGAATAACGGCCGTGCATTGCGAGTTCTGAGTCCAAATAACCTACTTGTCGGCAATGCGGATGCGTGGGGTAATTACTGGGATGGCTACGTCCAAGCAGTGTGGAACAAGTTTCGCAATGAAGACATGATCATCAACACACAAGCTGCTGCTGGTAATCTGCGAGGTCGCGTTCAGGGTAACGAGCTTCAGCTTGGGGAGGCGGGTTCTTTCTCTGCGCCAACAGCAAGAGATATTTTTACGTGCAGCACTGGACCTTTCCAAACCGGCTCCAACCAGGCTCGCAATGCAGTCATTCCTCGTCTCGCAGCTGCATTCAACAGAAGCACTCTGCTTAACACACTTGGCAACCAATTTCCCAATGGCAGCAACCCGAGCCAATACTACAAAGACCCAACGACGAACCACTATTCGCGCATCTTGCATGAGATTCAGAAGGATGGACGCGGTTATGCTTTCCCCTACGACGATGTGGTCCCAGACGGTGGACAGGATGTCGCTGGAACAATTTTTGACGGAAGTCCACAGCTGTTTACCATCGCTGTAGGCGGCAACTAGTAATGCGATTGCTGCTTTGTTAGGTGTTGTTCATGTTTGTCATGGTACAAAGAATGGGAGTCTGTTGCCTGAGAGACTGGTTTTAGCATGCATCCTTCATTACTATATACCTCTTCATTGTATTTTTTTCTTCGTCCTAGAATACCATTATCTTCACATTGAGGCATCGTTGCCTAGCTTATGAAATGTCAGAGTCTATTTGTATATATATCAAGTTGTCTTCTGCTCACTCATGTTAATTCCTACTTTTTTTTAGTAAATGATCCATATATGTTCCATGTTTGCCCCACTTGTATATTAGAATATGACGGCTGACACTCACAAAGGTGCACTCATCGAGCATTTTTCACTGCCAAGAAAATTTTCACGTGGATGGTTTTCACGAATAATTACCGCACTGGGGGTTGTGAAAGCACAGAATGTAATACCAAATAAGCATAGCTTCGACATTGTATTGCCAATAGTAGGCAGTGTCGCCTGTTCTCATTGAACAACCATGAATTCACTATGCCAACACACCACTCACTGTACAGTGGCGGATATACAACACTGATTAAAGTCTCATCGAATTTGGGACTAAATGTTTCAGATACTTGTTTCTCCTATATACAACGTTCAACTCATACAACTCACACAACAACAACCAAGATCACCAATACGACTCCAACAAAATCCATAACTCAAAAAGAATCTACACATTGATCAAATTCACAGATCAAACAGAATCCATCGCCATGTGCAAAGGCTGCATTAATCTCAACATTGCGGAGCCTTCGCAGCTCCCTCAGCTATGCCAGCAATCCCTGGAGAAGTTGATCGAGCACGGTAAAAAGTTACTCAAATACTGCACGGAGATGGAAGATTATTACCGCTCCATGGGATACTACTACCACACATCCCAGCTCACGAAGCGCGAGGCCATGGCAGAATGCCCGACCCACGGCGATCATCTGGTCAAGCTGGAAGACGCTTTCAACCTCGACCACCCCGAAGATTACCACATTCTATTCAAGCCAATGGAGACTAGCATCACCCAAATAAAGGAAGTAGTCTCGGACGCCGAACATATCTCGTCTAACATCTCCGTCTCGGATCTCGCCAAAATCCTGACCACCGAGCTCCAACCAAAACTTCACACCGGCCATATCACAATCAATAAGATGCGGACATACTTCAGCCGCCTCAATTTATACACAAACACTCTCCGCGCGGTTAGCTGCGAGCCCGATGGCACCCACCCACCCAATAACAACCGCGAGACCCCTTGGCACCGCCGCAAGTTCAATGTGTGCACTGGCAAGTGGGAGCTTGAGAGCATGGCGGAGGAGTGGACTGACTTCTTGAACTGGGTCACATGTTTGCCGGAGACACAGGCGTGGGTGCAGAAGGGAGAGGATGTCAAGGAAATTGCGCTGAGGTGGTTGAAGAATTTTGTGGTTGTGGAGTTGAGGTTGGAGGATATTAACTAAGGTGGGTTGGTGAGGGTTCGTGGAGATGGAGAAAATTTTCTTTATGTTGGTGTTTTAGTATATGGGTATAGGTAAAATGGTGGGATGGCGTTTGGAAAAGTTATTTGGGCTTGCTTTTAGAACGGAATTGCAATCACAGAAGGGATTTGGTATAGAGAAGATGTTTTTATTTCTAAGATATGAATAGAGTCTATATTCCGATATCTAGAACACACTATTGGAAAGAACTGTTGAGCAAAGATGTGATATGTTTATAAGAATATTGAGTAAGTTAACACTATTGCTTGGTTGAATGATCGTCTTAGGAGATTGGGTCAAAGGTCCTTCGGACTCCTATCTTAGTTTTTACGTAACTTGAATATCTTCCAAGAAATAATCCGAAATGAATAAGTAAATAATGCTATGCCATACTTCGTGATTCTCGTACCTCTTAACGAAGGTCCAAAAAAGGTACTTGCAACGGCTAGTAGAAAAAGAACTACTTTTTTCGACATCTGTAGTTGTATTTCTACCACCGCATTCGTTGAGTAGTGCTGACACGTTGTTTGTGGCCGGGTAGTGATTCGAGCATCGGAAGCTCGCATGCATAATAACGCATTCTCTCGGCTGAAGAAATGCCAAGCCCACCATTAACAGCCGCAAGCCGAAGCTATTGGACATCCGACGCGTCGGACGGCTCCCTCCAACAACAACGGAAGTTCCGTCAACCACATTGCCTCCCGTCACTAACTGCCCATAAGCGCATTTCTGCTGTCATAGATTCACAATGTCCACACGACCAGATCAGCTAGTAACGCCATCCGAAAAGCGGCGTCGTATTGACCGCGTCGCGGCAGCATGCGATTTGTGTAGAAGGAGAAAAGTCAAGTGCGACGGTGAATTACCATGCACATACTGTGTACGCAAGGAGCGTGCAGCTACATGTACATTCAGCGGTCCAACTCCACGAAACCAAGTTCACTCGGTAGTGGACTCTCCAAGTATACACGCCCACACTGACAGCTCGTCTTTTCGGCGCATCATCTCGGCTGGCCATACACCAGACAACCGAGAACACAATTCTCAAGAATCACGATACCAGCATGAAGCCGCTGAAACTTCAACATCGCTCTCACCCACACTGAGTAGAGACGATCTACAAGGCGATACTGCGGTTCCTCTGGAAGGCCGTATTCTTCGTGACGCACAAGGCAAACTAATCTTCATCGGCGATTGCGCCCCACTGTCCTTTCTACAAACAGTGAAGCATCTCATCACATCCGAAGTTGATTCAGGAGTTTCGGTGCAAGCCGCCAGGGATCCTATTATCGAAATCACGCGTCCCCCACTAGCCGACCAACAACAATGTCCACCAATTGAGCTGCAACATGTAGATGCCCTAGTACAAGAGTACATTGCAGCTAGCAGTGGTCTCGTACAGCTATTTCAACGCGAGGACCTGTTGCCAGAGCTGAAAAACTGGGTGAGCAACCAGACGTCTAGCCCAGACGATGTCGCCGCTGCTGTCTTCTATCTTGTGCTCGCCATCGGTGCTCAAGACAAGTTCGAAGACAAGGCAGAGGCTTGGTTCAAACATGCGCTCAACATACTTCTAAAGTTTATGTGCAGTAACATGAACGTTTCTACCGTTCAGGGCTTCACCCTGGTAGTTATTTTCATGCTCCGCGCTTCTCAGCCAAATGGTGCATATTTATACTTTTGTAAGTGATCTTACGTGTGAGTGTTTGTAGGGTTACCTGCTTACGATGGCTAGCCTTGGCTGCGCGTACTGCATACGCAATCGGCCTTCACAGAACCGAAGTCAACGCTTCTTTCGGTGAGAATATTAGATCAGTACGAGATCGTATCTGGAAGAGTCTGCGCGTCGTCGACCAACTCATCAGGTAAGCCGCTATAATTTCCCTTATTCACTGAGGCTTCCATAGTTACATACGCTGACATCTGTTGTTCGCCATTCAGCAATATCTTAGGTCGACCACCCTCCACATCCGATGTGGACTGCACGGTCAAATACGTCAATCCCGAGGACATGCGATCTGATACTAGTGCCAACATATTAGATGCGAGTGTGCAAATTTTCATGATCGTCGAGCGCGTCGTTGTTGAAGTGTACTCTCGCAAGCGGATATCTCTACGGATCGCCGACTACGTCTCGAGGCAACTGAAAAATTGGGCGTCCAAATGGCTCGGAAATCTTTCAGACATTACAACTAGACAACAATCCTGTGAGGCAGTGGTTGGCGCCTGCTCCACTTTGTGCTCCTACTACTACGGTATAATGCTATTGACACGGCCATTCCTCATTTACGAACTTTACGAGTACATGGGCGCCTCACTCAAGAATGGAGGCACACCTGCTGATCATCAAGAGAAGCGCAAATATGCAGATGCCGCAATTGATGCGGCTTCGGTACTAGTTGACACTTTACAGGCTTTGATAAAAGCAGACCAGTTACCTCGAAGGATGCCATTAGTAGTGTAAGTTTTAATACGTATCAACATCGATGTTCGCTAATTGACCCCAGATCTTGGCTCTTCACTGCTACACTGGTTCTAGCTGTTGGCATTCTCGGCAACTCCGGCCTCCTCTTAGAAGAGAGCTGCAAAGATGCAATTGCCTGTATGGACTACTTCGGCATGGTCGATCATCATGCTCGTCAATACTCGCATGCTGCCCAGTCTCTCCTTAAAATCACAACTGCACATGCGAGGAAACGGGAACTGCATTTGCGCCGAAAGCGGAAGCAGGCTTCCTCTGAATTGTTTGGTCTATTGCCATCAGAGCAAACCCCTCGAGCCCATCCAATCGAAGGTCCTCAACCACGACCGAAGCCCGGCTTGCCATCCTCCACACAAGCTACTCTGCAAAACCCTCCTGCACAAGCTCCGCTTGATTGGACCATCTATGATGCCGACTTCTTCGCTCTACCATGGCCTAGTGAGAACGATCAAGGTCTACAGGATTTCCTCCAACCGGGCACCTATAATTTGGACGGTGCGTCTGTGGCGGATATACCTCTCTTCCCTATCCACAATCAACAGACAGGCAACACCTTCTTCCCGTAGTTCAATGGACTGTGTGTTTGTATCCAAAATATTCGCAAAAATTCTTGCATCTGGACTTCAATGTACGACTTTTGTTTCACTGGTTTCGTCTCTTGATGTCCGCAGAAACGGAATCAACTTGGTGCCTCCGGTACCAACCAGCTCTTGTGTCTTTGGCTTTTCTGCGACCATCTCTGTAGAGGCAGAGGCTATGTCTCTTCTTTTAATATGGCTTGCCGGCTTCGCCGAATGACTAGGTATGATGATATACCTCGTTACAAGAGCAATGTGTTTGTCGCGGAAGCCACTGAGTGCTGCAACCGCTGCGTTGAACGCCGAAAGAAGCACATCGTTCTCTTGATGGTCATTTACATAGCTGCGAATATTCGCAATGGCTTCAACATCATCCAGGAACCGAGCGTGGGGGCCGGGCATGTATCCGCGCATCTCAGCGTGGAAACCGCCACTTCTAGAATGGTCTACCGAAAGCACTGCATCGAAGAACTGGAGCAGGGAAGACTGTCCATTGGATCCACCTCGGTACGCTCGCCATGTGCCCTTGCCATTGCCTTCATCATAGAAGACGCCATTTGGCAGACCAGCAGCCGCCATGTTCATGCTGCCGGCCAAAAATGGTCTGATGGTGTGATAGAATACGTGAGGATCGCAACGTTCATCCATGCGCTCTAGAAGTTGTCCGATACTCTCCACACCTCTCTTGAAATATTGCAAAGCATCTACCACTGTCGCAGCATCGTCTCTTTCGACGGCATCAATAGCCCCGAGCATGGTCTCGATCAGTGGACCGGCCCTTGCCTCCATGGCATTTGAGATGATGAAGAACCACGATTCATCATCAGTGCCAGTAGCTGTATAGAGAGCAACCATGTTTTCCGGCTGAGTCAAATCAACGTCGTTGGTTAATGGTCTCCAGTTCCATAGGTTCAGTGCTGCATATGTGGCGACGGGATGTACCTCGAGGTGTTCAGCCGTCCGAAGGAAAGGGATAGTAATTGCAGGAGGTAGCCTCTGGGTATCCGGTTAGTACTAGTCGTTGTTTCAGTCAAGGAAGATGCTCTCTTTACCTCTGATGGTTCAGGTCCAGTCCAAATGTACCCTTGAGCCATGACAGCTAGCATCGAGTGGGATCTTTGCCATTCCGCTTCGTTGTCTAAGTGAGATACATCAAGGATCGGCAACTCATCAACAGATTGTCGTATCTGCTGAGTTTCGATGAGCAGAGGAAGTTTCTCTATGATCTGTTCCCATGGACTATAATAATTCTGCGGCAATCGGGACAATGGTGGCTCAGCAGGAAGAAAGCCGTTTTTAGATATGCTGTACTCCGGCAGTGCAGAAGTGGACGGTAGACTGAAAATTCTGTGAGGGCTCATTATGAAAAAACAAAGCAGTAGCAAATCACAGTAATGTTTCCTGGATTCTAGAAGGGTTTGAGTATGCAGGGCGGCGAAGACCGCATTTATCATGAAACCACATTGGCCCACTTTCTTAGGCCAAACAAGTATCTAAACCTCGAAAGATGCTAAGGTGTCGGATCGGAAGGCGGACGGAAGCGCGTCGGAAGCGCGTCGGAAGACTAAAAGAAGAAGGTGCTGGGCTAATGCATATTTGCCAGACCAAGTGCCGGAGTCTAGAAGACGTAATCGAAGTAGCCAGCATATATTAAGTGTCCTTTTTCTCAGTACGACCTCACACACAGTTCTTTTAGTCGTCATCCGAACGTTGTATTACACTGCCATCTTGGTCGATCACCATGGACACCACCAGCGCTATCGAACAACTCCGCCAAGGCCAAAAGCCGCAATGGCCCGCAAATGCCGAGTCATTCGACTTTGCCCGGACCCTTGACGAGAGTACTCAAATACCGCATACATTCCGCCCTGAATTTATTGTCCCCAGCAAGGCGCAGCTCAAGCGAAAGACTCTCAAGGACGATGCGCAAACCGCAAACCCGGCAGCGAGTGCAGAGGATGAGGCCATCTACTTTTGCGGTAACTCGCTGGGTCTCCAGCCGAAAGCTGTTGGCGAACACTTGAACGCATACCTCAAAACATGGGGCTCAATAGCCGTCGGCGGCCATTTCACCACCCTTGAGGACTCGCCAATCACTCCTTACCAAGACATGGCCGCTGCATGTTCAAGAAAGATGGCCAATGTTGTTGGTGCATCGCCTTCGGAGATTGTTGCAATGAACACATTGACCATCAACTTGCATTTGATGATGGCGGCTTTCTACAAGCCAACTGAGAAGAAGCACAAGATAATGTGCGAGTGGCGGCCCTTTCCCAGCGATTGGTATGCGATTGAGTCGCAAATTGAGTGGCACGGACTAGATCCAAAGAAGTCGATGCTTCTAGTAGAGCCAGACGATGGATACACCATGACAACAAAGAACATCCTCAAATTCATTGACGAGAACGCCGATGAGCTTGAACTCATCATGCTGCCTGGAATCCAATATTACAGCGGCCAACTCCTTGATATCCCAATTATCACTGCCCATGCACGGAAACACAACATCACAATCGGCTGGGACCTGGCACATGCCGCCGGCAATGTCGAACTCAAGCTCCACGAGTGGGATGTCGACTTTGCGTGCTGGTGCACATACAAATACATGAATGCCGGAGCCGGTGCCATCGCAGGTGCCTTTATCCACGAAAAGCACGGCAACAACGACCACTACAAGGGACTCAAGGGCTGGTACGGCCACGACAAGTCGTCTCGTTTCCAGATGGACAACAAGTTTGTTCCTACACCCGGCGCGCAGGGTTTCCAGTGCTCAAATCCTTCGATTGTCGACCTCACCTGTTTATCCGGTGCTCTCAGCGTCTTCGAAAAGACATCTATGACCGACCTGCGCTCAAGATCGCTGCTACTAACCGCCTACGCCGAACACCTCCTTTCTCAAATCGCCACACGAAACGTCAAGAATGGCGAGCTCCCCTTCCAGATTATCACACCTACAGACCCGCGTTTCCGTGGCGCGCAGCTCAGTGTCTTGCTGCCTGAAGACAAGTTCGACGAGGCTAGTGCGAGACTGGTGGACAATGGCATTGTGTGCGACAAGAGGAAACCGGGTATCATCCGCGTTGCGCCAGTGCCGCTGTACAATACCTTTGGCGATGTTTGGAGGTTTATGCAGGTCTTTGAGGAGGCGGTAGCGATGAAGGAGAAGGAGCAGAGTCAGGAGCAGGCGGCACCGGTAGTTGAGGCGAGGCTGTAGAGAGATCCATGTTTGTTTTTTGAGCGTGTTTTGATGATTTACGTATGATATCATTTATTATATGGCGGAGTGGTGTCGTCGGCATGAGTGAACGTGTAGGCTATGTAGTCATACTAGATGGCTATAAAGACCGATGAGAAGACACTAAATGTGTAGCTGATCTAGCAAGTCTAGAAAAATTAAAAGAGTGACGTTAATGATAAAAATAAAAAGATAATATTAAACCCCATTCCTCTTTTGCAACATATCCCCACTTTGAACATAATCACGCCAAGCGTAGAAGTAGTCCATAGCTATGCACACATTAAGTAAGCAAACCATATGATGGCTTAGAACCCGTGCAATCAATTCACGCCTCAGGCACACGCTCTTCAGCGTCCCTCCTTACCCAAATAGCCCAAGATGCACACATGTAAGCAAAGCGGGGCAACACCAGTACCCCTGTCCAATACGTGCCGATCACTACCAAAACTAGCTAGCACCCTATGACGTATATCCGTCTCACACTCGCCGCAACAGCAACCAAGAATACGTACGCTGGAGTCGCAAAACAGGGAGAGGGCCAGGGAATTAAAAGGGGGGGTGGAGGGGACGGGAAGTTCTACATTGACGTAAAAAAGAAACATAACTAGCCAAGTTCTTATTACATCAACCCCCCATTTCTCACCTGACTCTCTTGATTACCACTTGCGCATCTCACATACATACATCAGCCTTCGAATTTGAACACTTGGATAAAAACGCGACGAATTACGCTGAACTAAGGATATTTAGAAGAGGAAGAGGAAGGCAGAAATAATGTCTTCATCAACCCACCTCCCCCTCCTCTTCACCCTTCCCCCCTCCTCCCGCCACGACTTCCTCCTCCTAGACACGAGCGCCAAAATCTCCCTAAAAGCGCTCAATAAGCAAATCACAAGCACCATTGCTAGTAGTCCGAACTGCACGGAATGTGCGTCTTCTTCGCATCCCATCCCCTTTCCTTCTTCCTTTTCCCGTCCCCCCTACTTCAATCCCAAACACACGCGTACAACAAGCTAATTTGCGTAAAATAGTCATGGCAAAGCACAAAGCCAAAGACGGCCCCGCAGAGCAAATCCAAGAGTTCAAAATCCACTGGGACGTCAAGGGGCGTGAGAAATTATGGCCCGAGTATACTGTTTTGACGGAAGACAATATAAGCGCGGTGGTAGAGTTGCTCAAGGGAAACCCGGGGATGGGGGTTTTGGAGGTGAAGTTGGGCAAGGACGAGTGAAGAGAAACAAGAAAACGTAATGTGTAACTGACGTTTAAACGATAAATATTCCATAGTAGCCATATTTTTATATATTCATGACCACCAACCAAACTGAACAAACCTAATCAAGTTTCCCCACCCCTTCCTCCCGGCATTTTCAACATAGTGTTTTTTTAATCCCCCCAAACATTCAAAAAGTTTTGAATTGAAGTTCAGATAGGACACACCCTACATACAGGTTTACATCAATAGAAAAAGGAAAAAAGAGGTCCCATAGGAATGAGAGTCGTAGGTTACAATTGAACAGTAGAAAAAAAGAAGACCAGTTCGACGCACCAGTTTTCCTCCAGCGCGTCGCGTCGCGCAAAAAAGAAAAAAAGAGACAATCACAAAGTGGAGGGTATCCGTGTCGCGAGCAAGAAAAAAACAGATGCAGACCACACCCGAAAAGGACAAAAAACGCCTTTCTAGAAGGGTGGAAGGAAAGGAATATGCTCGCCCATATGCCCATTTGCAGTGGTGGCTTTGTTTCCCCCAAAAATACGCCGCAATAGTCATAGTATAAGAAAAAAGGAAAGGGGAGGAAGTCATGGTCTCGGTGACTTGTCCATGGGCTCTGATATCATCTGTTGCCAGTGTACGAGGTCTCTGCTCAAAAAGTCCATCATCTGGGTTGTGCTGAGGTCCTTGAACTTGGCCAAATCTGCGTCATCGTCTTTGCCGTCGCCGTTGGTTGTGGCTGTTGTGAGTTGCACAGCAGGCGCGAGACTAACGTGTTTTTCGGCTGTGGCCATCTCGACCTGTCGCTGCGCAATGTAGCTCTGCATAGCTCCTGCTGGCCTTCGTATGTCGTTCCAAGAGAGTTTTTGCAAGCGCCAGTTCTTTGTCTTGGTGGGTTTGTTGCCCGCTACACCGTCGCTACTATCGTGGCCATTGCTCGCGCCGTTTGTAGTGGTTGCCTGTGGTGACTGGGCCACATCGTTCTTGGGTGAAGTGCCATTAGTGGCAGAGACGGTGTCTCTCGAATATTGGTTTCGCCCAAGCCGGCCACGGGCCTTTTGGGGAGGGCGACCGCCTCTTCGTGGGGCAGGCGCAGATTTGGGTTCAGCAGCAGGCGGCTCGGGCGGCGTAGCTTCGGTCGCTTGTGGAGGCATCATATGTTCTTCAGCGGCGGGTGTGGGTGTGGGCTCTGAATCTTCGAGTTCTATACACCTGTCAGCCAATGGATCATCTCGCCACGGGTTGCGACATACCGTCGCCCTTTCTTCGCTCGGCGCGCCCTTTGCGCCTATTTGCGGCTTCATTGCGTTGGTTTTCGCGCTCCTTGTCGCGCTGTTCCTTTTCCCGCTGGCTCTTCGCTGCAGCTCCGCGTGGCTTCTGTTTTGGCGCTGAGGCCTTTGTGCTGTCGTCTTCGGACTCCAAAACTGGCGAATTGCTTGGAGAGCGCGAACCTGTGCGCTGCCGTTTGATTTCTGGCTTTGTTCTGTGGCAGAGCTTGTCAGCTGAGATGCCAGTGGTTTGTGAAGCAGCAATTGAAACGCACTCTTCGCTATCGTCGCGACTTCGCTTCTTCCGGTTTCCGTTCTCCGAAGTTGTGCCACCCTCGTGTCTGCTTTCTTCGAGCACCTTTCGTAGCACCTCATCTTCGTCGTACGCGGCTCGACTATTCATAGTCGACCTACGCTTGCCAAAGGAATCCACGCTTGCTCTGTTGTTTCGATCCTTGTCCTTGGCCGAGTTGCCCTCGGATTCTTTGGAGACTGATGACTTGCGATGCTTGCCATGTTGCTGGTCGTAGACGGGGAGATAGCGGGAGTATTTTTGACTGTTGCGACAATTTCGTTAGCCATGTTTGCTTTGTCGCGAAAAATCGGCTAGTAACACGAGTATCGACGCCGGGTCTCAAACATGCGACAGAGAACACATCAGACAGAATACGTACCCTTTCGGACTTGTCGAAACCTTGTGGAGGTCTTTTCTGCACTCCTCGCAAAAGTATTCGTCTGGGCTGGCAGCTTCGTCCATAATGCCCACGCATCCGCCGTGCTGCCATACCTTGCAGACATCGCATTGGATGAAAAGACCACCGAGCTCGTCAGCTTGCGCCTCTAAATCAGCTAGAGACATGCCAGCCTTGAGTGTGTCGGATGGCAGGCCTGGGTAATCTTGATAGCCACAGATGCATCGGGTGACTTCGTCTTCTTCTGCTATGTCGTCTTCGAGCTCGTCGTCGAGCTTGGTGGGCTCGTCCTCGTCATTGTCGTGCTCGCGTGTTCGGCGGCGTGTCAAGGGCGGCTCGGGCTGTGCATCGTGAGAGGGCTCCTCGGGCTCTTCCGAGGAGAGCGAGTGTGGAGTCGACGACTTTGGTGGTGACGTCTGCTTGGTGTTGGTTCGTGACGCACGCTCGGTACGCGCTGATGAGACGGAAGACGACGAGTTGCTGTGCGATGCGCCACTGGGCGGAGGCTGGGTGGTACGGGCCCGCGATGAGCGTCGCGGCGACATTGCGTGTCGGGCAATCGTTCGTGTCTATGTGCGACGGGCGGAGGGTAGATGAGCGACGAGGGAGGTCGCGGGCGGGATGGGGTTGGGTGCGCCTGCGAGGGCGTGCGGCCGGGCGTGGTAGGAGGCGGGAACGGGCGACCAGATGGGCCTGGGGAGGATGATGGCGACGAGGGAGGGAGAGATGGGAGGACTTCAATGGCACGGCGGGCGGGATCGCGCAGCGGGCGCTCTCTCTGGTGGGCGTGGGTGGGCGTGGTTTGGAGCTGGGAGGGCGGGAGCGGGTGTGTCGAGAGCGGGCCAAAAGGTCGACGAGCTTCAGAGGGCGAGGATCAGATGAATGGAGGAGTAGAAGACAAAGCCTGGCGGGGACACGACCATGGTCTGGGGCTCGGGCGGGTGTCTGGAGGACTGTACCGGGGCAATGCAGTGGGAGAGGCCGAGTGCCAGGACGGACTCGATTTTACTCCTCACGCTCTAGCGGGCAACGCGATTTGGGGTCTGCTCGCTGCAACGAAGCGCCAGCCGTAGTCGCCCGTCACGTGACAGCACTTCGCCGGCGGCCCTGCAACAACCCTGCCATGGCAGCCAGCGCCCTCGCCGCCTAGGCCGGCACCTTCGGATTCGCCTGATAGCGACAGTCGACGAGCTCTTTGCGGTTCGGCGCCCTAAGCGGCCTTCAGCGCAAGGTTTGGGGCAGAGAAACAGAGAGGGGTACAAGGTGCTGGCAGGTTTCGATGGTGACAGAAGTGCGATCCGCTGCCGATGAGGCACCCGCGCTAGCTCCTTTTTGCCCGAGGGGTCCCGCTCGCTGCATCATCACGCCCTCGCCTGTCCATGCTCTTGTCCTCCATGCATCATCCCACCACAGCTTCCTCCAGCCACTCACATCCCACCTCCCACCCATATTATCACCTGTAAGCCCTAAGCCGAGGCCGTCGCATACTGTCACTAGGCACTAGACAACCTTCACAGTGGGTGTCGCCAAGCACAGTACTTATGTACTGTTTACTACTTAATATATCACAAGTCACGGGAACACGGCTCCCGCCCACGACCAGGATCAAGGGTCGCTGCGACACCCGAGTCCACTTTCTTCGCACAGCGGAAACCCATGGCAGTGACGATTAATTACCAGAAGATTGTTTGTCGCCGTGATGACAAGGGGCGTTGGTTGTGCGCCATCACGTCGTCTCACATGTGCCCAGCCAGCTATTATGTGGCTGGCGCTTCGCCATTTATGCAAAATGTGCAAACACTTCAAACATTCACCAACAACAACTAATAACTACCCAAAACACTCACAGTCCACCCGACAGCTCCCATCTACATATATACATACTCACAACCCCTTGATCTTCTCTTCAAGCGCGCGCTTGATAGCTGACCCGTCGTTAGCACATGCCTCACACCCAAACTTTGCAGCTTGACTTACCATTGCAGCTGTCGTTGGCGTCGCCAAACAACATCTTCGTATTCTCCATGAAGAACATTGGGTTCGGCACATCTGCATATCCACTGGCCATACCACGCTTCATAATCACCACCTGCTTGCTCTTCCACGCGTGCAGAACCGGCATGCCTGCGATTGCGCTACCGGGCTCCAGCGCAATCGGGTTGACCGTGTCATTTGCACCAATCACGAGTGTAACATCCGTGTCAGCAAAGTCGTCGTTGATCTCGTCCATCTCAAGCACAATGTCGTAGGGCACGCTGGCCTCGGCTAGCAGAACGTTGCATTGGCCAGGCATTCGACCCGCGACCGGATGGATAGCAAAGCGCACATTGACTCCCTTTGCACGTAGCATACTCACAAACTCAGCAAGCCCATATTGCGCTTTGGCCACCGCCATTCCGTATCCTACTACAATGATGACGTTTTCTGCGTTGACAAGGGCTTCGGCTGTCTCGTCGGCCGTCGTCTTGGTTATCTCCCCTTCAACCTTGGACTGAGACTGCACTGTTGGCGCTATGCCACCAAATAAAACATTCGTGAGCGACCTGTTCATGGCCACGCACATGATGTACGAGAGAATAGAGCCGGAGACTCCAATAAGAGCGCCAATAGTCGTTAGCAGCGAGTTGTCCAGCATGAATCCTTCAGCGACGAGCGCGAACCCGGAATACGCATTCAAGACAGTGATGACCACAGGCATGTCCGCTCCGCCGATGGCAGCCGTTGTCGTGTAACCTTTGATGAAAGATAGGACGGCATTGCCCACAAGACATGCCGCACCTATCATAGGCGCGCCTGGTGCGTACGCCAAAAACGCACCCATGGTCGCAAAATTGGCACCCAGCAGCGAACTGTTGATGACATGACGGCCAGGCAGTGCCAATGGCTTCGAGCTCATCTTTGCGGCCAACTTCAAAAAGGCTACAATCGACCCAGTGAATGTGACTCCACCAATGAGAACACCAAGGTATGCCGAAACCATGTGGAGGGTCGAAATGTCACCAGTGTGCCCAAGAACACTACCGATACTAGTCAGGACTGCAGCAAGACCAACAACAGAGTGTAGCGCTGCCACTGTTTGGGGAAGAGATGTTGGAGTGATCCGCCGTCCAATTACAAGGCCAGCAATAGTACCGACCCCAGCCAATCCAGCAAACTGCGTGAGCACATCGGGTGTAAAACCAACGGCCGCTAGTGAAGCAAGGATACCAGAGAATACACCGAGTATACCCAGAATGTTCCCACGGCGAGCAGTCGTTTGCGATGCAAGCCCTGATAATGAAGTCATACACAGGAGGCTACTGACAAGGTAGCCTGCTTGCACAAGACCAGCCATACCAGTCGAAGCTGCCGCAATGTAGCCTCCGCCAAACAAGGCTGCCGGGATAGCATATAACCAGGGATATTCTTTGGGGTCCGTGGGGCGCCTGAACATATCTAGCATCCTCTTGGAGATGACAAAACCGCCTGAGACATTAACGAATGCAAGTAGCACCGACAAAGCTCCGAGCGTTTGTGGAATTGTTTCCGGAAAGTAGCCGCCACCCATCACGAACAGACCTCCTACACCTACCATTCCAGAGATTGCATTCGTGACGCTCATCAATGGAGAGTGCTAAGTGCAAGTTGACGATATCAGCGTTCTGTCTTCTACATGCCCTTTGTGCAACGATCACTTACCAATGCTGGTGCTACTCCCCATACAACGCGATAACCGATAAGACTGGCCAGAGCGAACGTGAAAGCATTGGACATGAACAGTGGGCCGGTAAGTTTTCCGAGGGCAAGCGCGCCGGTCATACCGGCTGTCACAGTTGCTACCTGTCTAGTTTGAGTCTGCCACGGCGTCAAAGCAACAGTATTTGCGACTTGGTCAGCGGGTGATGGGGCAGGCTTGGCCTGAGCCGGTGGGGGAGCAGGACGTGGCGCTGGGGGCAGGATTTGACCGTTGTAGGTGACAATGGCTCCACGAGTGACTTCATCGGTGAGATCAACGTCGTAGTACTTATCCTTCTTATCCTTTGGGGTCAGCGAAAGCAGGAATTTGGTCACGTTGTTCGAGTAAAGAGTAGACGACTGAGTTGGCAAGCGGGATGGGAGATCAGTATATCCTATGCACACAGTCAGCATCGGACATCTTCAGCAAGCGCCTTCACCTACCGATGACCTTGACTCCTTCGTATTGGGCTAGCTCTCCGGGAACTGTGGCTTCGCAATTGCCGCCGGCTTCAGCAGCCAGATCGACTACGACGGAACCAGGTTTCATTGCACCGAGCATTGTCTTTGTGATGAGCTTAGGGGCAGGCTTTCCGGGAATGAGGGCGGTGGTGATTACAATGTCGACTTCTCGACACTGTTCATAAAAGAGTTTCATTTCAGCTTCGATAAATTCCTTGGACATGACTTTGGCATAGCCGCCAGCACCAGATCCATCTTCTTTGATGTCGACTTCAATGAATTCAGCACCAAGAGACTGGACCTGCTCACGTGCCGCAGAGCGGGTGTCAAAACCGCGGACGATTGCGCCCATGCGGCGGGCCTGTTTTCCTAGGTTAGTAGCCTTCTTCCTCAAGCTTACACCATACTCACAGTAGCAATAGCACTCAAACCTGCAACGCCAGCTCCAATCACAAGCACCTTACAAGGAGGTATCTTTCCAGCAGCAGTGACTTGGCCAGTGAGAAAGCGCCCAAAATGGTTCGAAGCCTCTAAGACAGCCTTGTATCCAGCAATATTTGCCATGGAACTTAGCGCATCAAAGACTTGAGCTCGAGAGATGCGAGGAATCATGTCCATTGCGAATGCAGTGGCCTTTCGAGAAGCCAGGCGCTCGACAGTCGGCCTATTCTGCATGGGATAGAGCATGGAGATGACAGTGGCACCCTCTCGGATGGCGTCGGCCTCAGCATCCTTGCCCTCGATGCTGAGCGCCCGCACCTTGAGCAAAATGTCGCTCTGGGAGAAGACGCTTCGGCGGTCCACAGTCTGGGCACCAGCCTGCTCGTAAGCCTCATCTAAGAACTGGGCTTCTTGCCCCGCACCCCGCTCGACTAGAACGCGGGAAAAGCCCTTCTTGAGGAGGAGCTTGACATTCTGTGGCGTGATGGCCACACGCCTCTCGTTAGGAAAACTTTCTTTTGGCACGCCAATGGTCAAATTGGCATAGGGGCCTGCTGTAAAAGGCGGTGACGTGGGCAGTTCCTCATCGTGCGGCTCCGGTGCATGGGATGCATAGCGCGCAATAGCAGTGACCTGGGAGACGTGCTGCTGCAGGGACAGCGGGAGTGGACGGGTGAGGCTCCGTATGCCAGTGGTGCCAAACTGTATGCCAGTGTGTTTGGAACGGATCTCACGTCGAAACACAGGCGTTGATCTTGCAACTGACGGCTTCAAGGCAGCAAGCACGCTGCCCCGCGGCGGACAAGCGGCTGTCTTGCACCCGGCAAGACAGGATGCTGAGGACCTCATGCTGTCTCGGAAGAAGGCGAGCAAAGAGAGAAGAAGCTCGGTGCCCGCATCTGCTGGCAGTCAATTTCAAAAACAATGGCAAGGGTGGTAGCTGTAGACTCCCGCAGCGCCGTGTAGGAGAGCACTGAAGGTGCCACGGTTTGCGAGCCACCTTGAAGGTACATAAGGGGTGGTACCTTTGGGCCGCGTTCCGCGCATGCCTTCATCTGGCCTTGCACCGAATCAGAAGAGACGGGGGGTGAGCTTCCCCGCACTTGGACAATCCCCCTCTATGCGTGACGACCTACCCCACGTTTTAACCCCAGGTTTATAGTACCCCTCATGCCGTACCACAATAATTCTACGCTTCCAACTACTGCCATTGCAAGTGCGCTAAAACAAATAAAAGGGCCGCATTCAGCCCTCAGAGTTTCGCCGCCTACCTTTCCTCAGTTCTGGAGCACGCTGATCTGTATAGAAGTGGGGTGAACGCGTCGTTCCCACGAGCCCGTGCCATGCGATCACGCGCTGTGGGGCATGCGTCCCGACACTCTGGATTCCTGCTCTCTTTGGGAATACCACTCGGCCTTCTTCTTCCCGTCTTCCGTTCATCCAGACTCTGACGCAATCACCTTGCTGACATAATCGCTTCCTTGCACAACACGACGCACAAAGGGCAGCTATTCTCTTTCCAGCCAACATCAGAGCATTCATACATTGGATCACACATTCACAGCAGTTGGGAAAAGGGCGGACTTTTTGGTTTGCCAAATGCAATTATTGATACATTACGACTACAAGCGTTGCTATAAACGATTTTAAGGAGCGACTATGCGGCGGGCAGACAAGGGCCCAAGGTAAAGTCAGGTTGGTATATACATGGAAAGCAAAAGCTGAAAACTCCGAGACCAAAGATTAGCTACTCATTAACATCCACCATATCCGATCAGGATTCCTGGTTCATGCGTCTTCACCCGGTTGGGAACATGAGTCGTTGCTGGTTGTTTTGAATGCTGGGCAGCATTTATCGGCTGCCCCAGTTGAAGTTGGCGTTGACATCAACGTCGAAGATGAAGGACTTCTGGCAGCCCCACTTCTTCTGGGTGTTGATGCTGATGTCGAGGTTGGCCTGGGCGGGGGTGAACTTCCTGGTGTAGAGACGGCAGTGGGTACCGAAACCGACGCCGTTCTTCTCAAGGTAGGCAGCCTGGAACTGGACGCAGCCGCTCTTGCTGTAGCCGAAGAGGGACATCCACTGAGCGAGCCAGCCCTGCTTCCTGTTGGCCTCGTTCTGCTTCTGGGCGTAGGCGGCGCAGAGGGCAGGGTCGAAGGGTCCGGGGATGGTGGTCTGACCGATGCAGTAGGGCTGCTGGTTGATCAAGTGCTTGCCGCAAGACTGGGGCTTGCTGCAAGAAGGAGGAGTAGGGGGAACGTAGTTCTTCTTGTTGTATCCGTTGGAAGCGACAATGACGACCTCGAAACCGGCTTGATACTGGCCGTTGTTGGTGGCAGACTCCTTGGTAACATCCTGACCCCAGAGAGTGCACTTGAAGCGGGTGACAGAGTCAGCCTCCTTGCAAGAGCACTGTTCAGGGTTCCACTTGGGGTCGCGCTCAACGAAGACGTTGAAGCCAGTGCAGGTCTCGGTCGCCTCGCACTTCTTGGCGCAGGTAAGAGGGTCGTAGCTGGTGAGTTCGAAGTATCCAAGGTATCCGCTGCCGGAGACGGAGGCGCTCAAGTCGGTGAACGCCTTGTCCCAGCCGGAAGGAGTCTGGGCAGAGGTGGCCATCTTGTGGTAAACATCGTTGTTCTTGAAAGCATCGACGGTGTCAGGGACGGTGGGAGGTCCGTACGCGTTGGGCTGAGCAGCGCAAGGGTCGAGAGGGTTGATGAATCCACAGTAGGTGCCGACCTCGATTTGAGTAGCACAGGCTGGGTCAGCAGTGAAGGACCAGGTGTTGATCCAGTCGACTGGGGCGCAAGAGGAGGGAGCAAGATTGGTCGACGACTCGCCGGGAGTAGGCAGAGCATTGCCAGGAGTAGGAGGCTGGGTGGGAGTAGGGCCACTTGGTGGGTTGCCACCAACGGGAGGAGGAGTAGGAAGAGCACCACCTGCTACGTAGACAGGGTTAGGAGGAGGAGGTAGGTTGCTGCCGTACTGCTGGGGCTGGGGCTTGTTGTAGGTCTGAGCAGTTCCAGAGTTGAACCAGTCCCACCAACCGAAGGTAGGGGAGCGGGCCTCAATATTCCTCTTGGCTGCCTGAGCAGCCGCAGGCTTGGAGCCGGCATCAGCGGCGACAGCGAGAGCCTTCTTTTGGTCGTATTTGCCGACCTCGGAAATAACACCCATCTTGGGGCCCTGGGCAACATCGTTGACGATTTTCTCAGGCGCATCGAAGCTTTGGGGAGCAGGCGAGGCCGCTACAAGGGCGGCAGTCGCCACAAGAAGGTGGTAAGAACGCATAGTGAGTGAGCGTGTGAAATAGTTGTAGCGAGAGTATCAAAAGGGTGAAAGCGATTGGAAGGTGGTGAAGACCAGTGCTGATGATGAGATGATGTGCCATGTAGCAGACGTTCTTATATACAACAAGGGCCTCGCTCAGTGCTCTCGTCTCGCTTCTCAACTACTGACTGATTCGAGATCGATGTCATGGGAAGCGCCACAAGCATGGTCGGTTAGCTCAGTTCTTCTCGTGTGGCAGGATTTGGCGGTTGTACCTAATGGCACTAGTCCACTAAACCTTATCTTAGCCCCGGATGAATTGTCATACCTGTAGTCGCCGGTCGTTTTTCAGGCACATGCAGGTATCGAAGCATTATCACCAATCAGCGCCTGTGGAAGTCGCTATTTGGGTTATTCTCCGCCGTGTACTAGCAATTGGTACGTTCAGTCTTCTAGTTTCGAGGAAATGGGGACCACATGGGCGTTGACAGGGAGCCTGGCAAGAGGCGCGCGATAAGAAATTTGTCAGAGCCAATAACCCTAGCACTGCATCGCAAACAACCTGGTTTCTCACCACCGCCTGCTGCCATTCATCGTGTTTACAGAGGTGTTTCTCCTGATTCACTCGCGACGTGAACCAATCGAGTCATTGAGCGAAAAAGCTAGCTATTTTTGACGGTCGGCCTGGCTTTTTTGGGAGTGCAGCTTAGCCCAGAAGGACTAGCTTACAGCCCGCTGTTTACTACTTCGATAGTCTCCTCCAGGGGTACAAACATGTACTTGCCTACGACGGGTGCTCGATCAGCCCATTACGGATACAGCGTTCGCACTAACGTTTGAGCAATGATAAGCCTTTTAGACTGACCTAGGCCAGTCTTCTTCTCACTCGCCTATCCCCACCTCGCCAAAAGACATGTCGCAAGAGCATGGCGACAGTGATGTGCAAAATACGATACAGTACGGTCGAAGGAAGCGGAGCGTTTCATTCCCCACAATGTTTACTTTGGCCAAGCCTCATACTGAGCGGTGATGTACAGCAAAGCCGAGAGACCCTCTGACGCCGAGCCGCGATTTACACCTGGATGTGACGGGAAGGAATAGTGAACTTGAACCTTTTTCGATCACATGGCAGGGCGGCTCGCTGCAAAACACTAGACTGTTTCTCCCAACTGTGGCGATGCAAGAATACGAAGCGAAAGCGAAGTGGCTGGAGCCGAACTTCTAAGACCGTGTCTGTGTGTGAAGAGAGAGCAGGCTGGCCCTTCGCTAATTCTAGCCGCAGCAAATCCTGAGCATCCGAGGTACTCCGACAACGTCCCTAACGGGGCGTTGCAAAGTCATGCATGGGCGTCAGCGTGTACCATGGTTCTCGTCCAGATCCGGTGCTCTTGTGGGTAACTGCCATTGCCGAGCCGATGTTGAGTGCCGAGTCGTACCTCGGATTCGGGTGCGGTGGAAGGTACCCTTCTCGATTGGTGTCCAGTCCTACGGATGATGCGGCAAATTAGCCGCACAATGTCCTCGATCAAAGCATCATCGTGCGTTCACAAGGCCACCGGTGAGCGGTTTCTCACTATCGTCGGTCAAGGTCCGTCCCAAGGGGGCGGCGAGGAAATCATTGAGTGGGTCAGTCGGGTCTCTCGTAAGTCGGACGCTAACGGCTCGGTCGATCCCACTAGGCGGCGCTAGCCCCACATGGCATGCTTCAGCCTCATGGCCCCCCTTTATCATCGTCACCACAATAATGACAACGGCTTTCCTCTTGTCGTCCTCGTCGGCTAACGGGCATCCGCCAATCCATGCTTTATTGTCTATGAGTCTTCTCTTCGCTTATACTCTCTGTGGCTTGTGGCTGCATATCAGTCGACGCGCCAGCCACACTCTCAAATACCCCATATGCACTACCATTTTGCACAGTCAAAGTTCACAACCACACTCACTCAAAGTGCTACTATCCGTATGAACTATTCGTTCGCGCCGTGGCATCGCCTTGGCATCACTGCATGGAAGAGATGTGCAAAATTTGAGCCAACAACTGCTGCAAAAACCTCGCAAGAAAGTCCGAGACCGAAATAGGTCCACCTTACCCAAACTAGCGGTTCATGGTCAGAATCACGAACGCACAATGAGGCATAGCTCCAGGAGTAAGAACCGCAAGAGATTTTTCTGTTCCAAGTTACGTCAGTAGGCGAGTACTCATCCGACCGGCCGAGATCCGCCTAGGGCCCCCTTGACCAGGACTTTTGTCTCCAACGTACATGCAAGACATTTGCTCAGCCTCGTCAAGCACACAACTAGGGAGCATACATCACCGGAACTGATTTCAAATTTCGTGCATGTTCGCTGCGCCCGACCCCCTTCCCCCTTGTTGTTCTGGGCCCCTGCATCTCCCGTTCAGATCGCGATTCCACGTGTGGAGAGCGCTCAGATGACGCATGGACGCCTCCGCAAAGACACCTTTTTGGTACCACTTGGCTCGCAAAGGGGGGGGGGCGCCCTGTGGTATTCGCGGCTTACCTCTGTGGCTGCTGTGGAGACAATGATGTGTGTCTTCAAGCGCTGTTCTACTTGACATCTACATTACCAAGCAAGCTGGAAAAAAAGTCAGAGTTCGATCGCATGTACTCTGGACTTTGGCGACTAAACTCCACCTCCGGTACTCTTGGCGTCGTCGTCGTTGTCAGCACTGAGTCGTCGATATCTTCTTGTCAACCCCAACTTCAGTCCGCCCATACGAATATCGCGTTGGGCATGGCCAGTACTCGCCAGGTGGCTGGGTCTGTCATCTTTTCGCGTGCTGTTTGGTACATGTCTGTTCGAAAGCACTCGCCGTACTACTACTGCCCTTAATATGAGGGGAGCGGCGCAAGCTCTATTTCGTTCTTGGATCTTTTTATAGCTCACACTTGCTTGCGACATGCCGGTGTACCCGTAGAAACTTTCGGACTTCACGCCGTGAGGCTAGGTATGTGATTTTAGCATTGCTGAGCTACGGGTGGAGGAGAAGCATATATATCTTTCCACCCTTCTTACGCTCGTGGGTAGCTGGATGTCATCTGATGTGTTTGTTGCGATGACTGACAATATGTCCATACTCGGGATCTCGCTCGCTTCCAGATGTGCTCACTTGAGAGCATCATGGTGTTTGCAGTGCAAGAGGACATGGTGTTTTTCCCAGTTTTAGTCCCAGCCGTCGTTGATAAGTTTGACAACGACTGTTCAGATGCACATACAAGAATCTTGCTGGTTTTCACAAATGAGTATATTGCCTTGGCGCTCACCTGGTATTTGGAGTTACTCCTAGGCTCCACTTGTACAACACCTCTGTTTTGACCATTACCTAGGCCACATCGGCAATGGCAGGAAATCGCCTTTAATATCTGAATTCTGGTTGAGCTGCGCCAAAATCCGATCCATATTTGCTCAAACCGCACAAAGTATCCTCCGTTCACCGACTATTACGTTATATCTCTTACTCAAGATCATCCGGTCGTATAGCGCGGCTGCGACGGGAAACTGTATAAACTTCGTATCTCGAATTATCCGGAGACGAACAAACACGGTCGAGAAGCTTAGGGTTGAGTCGAAACGAATCGCAACAGTGGTTCGATTAATGTAGCCTCATATTGCGGGGGAAATTGAAAGGGACGAAAAGTCGTTGACCAGGGAGTTTTCTCCAGACAACAGATTGAATATGGGAAGTTTAAGTGGGGAACAATGTGCAAGGGTGGGGAAAATAAGCACAAACGATTGACGCCAGACCCCCGGTTAAACCTCACAGATTGAATCGGGAGACAGATGTCGAACCATGGATTTTTGGTAAGATGGCTGTATTTACCCCAATTAAGCGAGACGTTCCATATTGCTTCGATATTACAGCGCGCTATTCGAGACCGTGTTCTGTAAGCACCATTGTTCCAGTACCACTCGGGATGCGGGACAGATGTTTTCCTTTTGTAGTAGCCTGTGGCCAAGCCCTGCAGCATTTGTTTCTATTGTCCGCTTCCCGCTTCATTCGACACACTGCACCCAGACACATCACCTGACCTGGACCTGAATCTTTTCGGTGTCCCGCCAACCGTTTATATTACCGTGACACGGCCGAGGTTATTTTTAAGCGCTGTAGAAAGCGGGACAGCACTATGATGCAGGTCCAGAGCCTCTCTGGAGACATGCAATCAATCTACTTGCGATTGAAGCTTTTCGTATCTTTACTATAATGCTTCACTCCCGCCTTTCCAGGGTCTCGCTGCAGGACGCCACCTACCAGACGGTGGTCCTGCTGCAGATTCCCCACCAGATGTACCTCGTCCACACAGTTTACCAGGCCGTTTGCAGTGTTGCTTAAAAAAGAAAACATTGTTGATCATGACCTGAATTGATCTAGATTTCTGCTTTGCAACCTCAGCTACGTACTCTTAGTCACGAAGCTCGTATGTGGGTATACTACCACTCCAGTCACGTTTGCCAGCGACATCGAAGACTCAATCTAAAAGGCATCTCGTAAACCTTGGCAGAGGATTAAGACATGGTAGTCTTAATACTGATGCCACTTGAATTGAACCTAAAATTGGAAACTGAACCCGGCCCGCCCAGAGAACGACACTTGACCTCTAGTCATCCATATTGACGCAGCTCGTGATGTCGAGCGGAAGCGGGAGAGAAAGCAGGGTGCCTGACAAGCAGGATGATTCTGAAGCCGCGGGATAATCTATACTGTTGTGTCGTTGATGCAAAGACAGAGCAGTATAAAGAGGAGGTAGTTTTCCCTTGTTTGTGTTGAAATCATTGCAAGATCCAATCCAGTCCTTCACTTCTTCTCAACACACTTCAAGCCCCGCGGCTCGTCCCGTTCACTTGTACAAACTCTGCAACCATGCACTCCAAACTCGCTGCTTTCCTCCTTCCTCTGCTCGCCACCGCGACTCCAGTCAAGCGAGGCAATGCTCCCAACCCCAATGATATCACCATCTTGGATACTACCTACTCTGGCAACGGATGCCCCCAGGGCTCCGTGTCCACCAGCAAATCCGCCGACAAGACTGTAAGCTCCTAACCACGTGTTCTATCGTCCTATCTCAACACACACAAACATCTATCTAAACTTAATAAAAAAACCCCCACTCCCACAAACCCTCTTCCCCCAATCTCAAACTAACACCACCCCCTCTTCCCCAAAAAGGTCATAACCTACGGCTTCGACAAATTCCAAGCCTACATCGGCCCCGGAACCGGCCCCTCAGACCGCTCCAAAAACTGCCAAATCCACCTGAACCTGCGCTACCCCGGCGGTTTCCAATACGCCGTGGTCGACGCCACTTACCACGGGTGGGCGCGCCTCGACGACGGCGTAAACGGCACCTTCATCACGACCTACTACTTCAGCGAGGACGCGGGCAAAACGCAAACCACACGCATGTCTGTCTCGGGCGGTGGCGCCTTCGCCAACGGCCTCGTCTACACAAAGCAAGACTCGGTGGAGACCACCGCCACCATCTGGAGTCCCTGCGGCGCAAATGGCATTCTCAATGTTAATAACCGCATTGCGCTTACGAGCAAGAATGCGAATGCTGCGGGTGAGATGAGTAATGATGATGCGACGGTTGCGTTTACGCATCAGTTGCATGTGGCGTGGAGGGAGTGCAAGACAACGAGTGGTGGAGCGGCGACGGGCGGCGATTCGATTGGTATTGGAAGCCCAAGTGCTGAGCTTGAATTTGTTTAGATGGGTGGCTGACGTGCTGGGTAGTGCTATAGGTTTACATGATGGAAGTGCGATGTGGGGAGGTGAAGGCGGGTGTGCTGGGCACAGTGGGAGTGTGGGGTCTTGGTGGTCTTTAGTGAAGATTCGAGTGTGGGTGTAGATAGTTGGTATTGTTGTTTTTCTGGATTTTCGATCTGCTATGAATTCATGCTTCTTTACTGGGAAACAAGTTGTGCACCTTTTTTTTTGTTTCGACTATGCATTTCATTGACACTAGTTTACTACTATTTGAATGAGGTTTATTGAGCACGGAAACTGTATTAATGTGTCAATGTTCTTGACACACTAATAACAAACATGAACAATACAAAATGACGTGTAATGCAATGCATGCATGCAAGCCGAGCAAGCACCGTGATACAAACGTTGTGTCGGATGTGCAGATCCCGTGCAACTTAGGTGCGACCAAGTGGCAACCTCAGTACAACACAACCCCTATAATCATCAAAAAGCGCGTGGCATTTCCACATGAAGCTAGAATGAAGAAAAAATGAACTGAACCGACAGAGCCGTCGGAATGAAAATGTGTCTTCTTGAACAAAAATGTATATCCATGTAACTAAAAAATGCAACAAAGAACATGTAAACCGAAAGTAATGGCGTTACCGTGACCGGCGCCTATCCTGAATCGAGCGTAGGACTTCAAGCCAACCACCATCATCAATGTCGTCACCCCCTGTAAATTGTGGAGAGAGAATATCAGGAAGCTGAAGAAAATCAATAGGTAGTTACCATGAACTTACCGTTGCGTGAAGCCGTACTTGTGGCGGATCCCCCGCCACTGACCACAATAGGATTGCTATCGACCACATGTACCGCCAAGCCGTTGCCGGCTGATGTGACTGGTGGATCTGATGCGGAATTCCGGATGCGGATCAGGGTGATGCGTATGCGATATGTACCCGCTTGACGGATGGTAAGCTCAGGGAAGCGCATGTAGCCCACGCCGTTTGGATCAGCCATGTCCATTGAAGCAATGAAGCCGTCGGCCTCATCGTCGCTAAAAGGGTGAACAGTGTCGAAGATTCGGCCTGAGAGCAGTGTATTGAGAGCGCTGGGGTCCGGTGAGTCTGACAAACTGGAAGCAGGAACCAGAGCGGCGACTGCGACAAGGTTGGTCGAGTCTGCAATAGCGTCATCGGCGTCAGCATTGGTGGTTCGCAATCGGACAATGATGGAGCCAGGTATGGTCTGTCCGACTTGGGCGGTGCGCGGCGGTTGGACTACAATGTCCATAGCGTACCGAATTTCGTCGGGTGAAAGGGAAAGTCGACCTGATCTTGAATTCCCAGAAGTGCGCGCACTTCCAGGGTGATGAACTGGGCGATGGGACCTTCCCCCAAGCGCCCTCGGCCTCGCAACGTCAGCCATTGAGCATGCAGTATCGGCCAATTGACGGTCTGATTGTCCGTTGAGCAATTCGGCGATTCGGGCAGACCGTCTGAGTGGCGTCTGGCTGTCCGTGTTGTGTGCAGTGGTATGGCCCGACGAAGTTCGGGACTGTGATGTTGAAGGCGAGTTGGACGTGACTCTCCTAGATGCGGTGACCCGGCTAGAATTTTGATGTCTACCTCGTCCTCGTCGTGAGCCCCTTGGCATCTGATGAAGGTCGAAACTGTTTCGCTTAGTAGAGATTCATAAAGGGATTGAGTCAGGCCGGCGTTAGCTCTGCTGTAGTGGGAGAGAGGGTATTGTCTGGGGTTTGGCCGGGGCCGGGATCAGAGAAAAAGAAGGACAGAAAGAGCAAATTGAGTCGGTAATTTCAAGCAGGAAATGACTGGCAAGGAATGTAAATGGAACGTGACGCCATGGACGTTGTACTAGGCGATGTTGATAGTAAAGATATAGGAAATGAAGTCAAGCCACGAGTCAGCCGGGTCATCAAAGCCGAGTGGTGGAGGGCATAGTGTTGACCCTTCGCCATGACGACAATGTGCTCGTCAAGCGCGAGGGAGTCCAATACTAGAGCCCTTTAATCTCGTGAAGCGGTGGTGTAGAGCAAGAGAAGAGCTGCGATAGCATTATGACGAAAGATATAGGCCGAAGTGGATAGGTACAGGGTCTCCCTCACACACAGGCCCTGGTTGGGGCCCCACGCGCGGACTGGTTTGGTGGAGAGCAGAGTGCGGTGGGGGCGTGCGGCTGTCGCCCGCGATTCCGTCTTGTGGCCAGAAAGGGAGCCCCCGTCCATGCGCAAAGGGTGACAGCAGTCGAAAGAGGACAGCAGTGGCAGATGTGACGGGGCGGAACATGTGGTGGAAATGCAGCAGAGGGCGTTGCAGGTAAATTGACGAATGTGATGCGTCACAAGAAACCCGGGCAGCCATGTGGGCGACCGGGATTGTGAATCGGGGCGGCAGGAACGAGGCAGGAACGGTGCAGGAACCGGGCAGGAACGGGGCAGCGAAGCGAAATGAACTGCTCACCTTCTGGCGTGTCGCGCTAAAGGACTGTTCCTTCCTGTCGTGTGTCTGTCGCTCCGGACCTGTTACACAATGCCGCTGCGCTGTTTATGGCGGTGGGGAGGCCAGTAGAAAGGACTACGTATCGTGCCTTGATGCCTCAACACCTCGATAGTGCCCTGACGCCCGGCTGCGACAAGACTGGCGATACGCGGTGCCACGGCGACAAACGCCTACGTGTGTATTATGCTACCTTGATGCCTTGATTAGCCATGTCTAACCTTCCCACATTTGGCCGTCGACCTGTCCAGGACCGCTCCTCCCAAGGATCCGATGTGTTCCGGCATACCTGTCCTTGGCCCTCCTTTTCAATCACACCCCAATATCCAGTGCATACAAATCAAAGCAAGGCGAGGATGGCCACTCCGGAATCTGCTCATCCGTCGGTGATGAAGGATGAAGAGAGGGACCGTGTCTCACCTCAGATCGAGGGTTGCCAACTGACCGTGCTGGCGACGATGAATACTTTAGGCCATTTTATACAAACCACACGCGTGGCCACCATCTCCATCGCTCTTGCCTCTTGCAGTGGCCTGCAGCTGCCTCTCTTGGCTACCCGCCCTCTTCCTGATTCCGAAAGTGCTGCCGCCTGCTTCCCTTGCCTTCACCACCTTCATCACCCCTGTGCTAGCTGCGCGTGGATCTAGTGCAGCCACCATCGACATGTCGCTCATCCAGTCCCACAATCTCAACATCGATTTCTACAGCCCCTAGCCCGCCACCACCCTGCGGATACCCTACCCGGTTGCCGATCTGGGGTACCACCACAAACCCAGCTTCATGGGACTGTTGCATGGCCTGCGAGACCATAAATTACCGAGCCGTCACCATGGATTGAACAGACCGTACCACACCCCACCATCCTCCCGACAACGTAGCCAGCAGTGACACGAAAAGAAATCCATTCGCACCAAAAGTACACGAATATCTTTGCTCTCCGCGCCTCACTGGCCCCTTGTGGGAATCACTGCCAATCACGGCCAATCCGCCTTTGCCTGCTTCACTGACCCATTTCTATCATCCCGCCATCTAACCCACAAGCTAGCAACGGTGCTGTTCGCGAGCCGATCCTAGCTTGACTAACGGCTACGTGCAGCTGCTAAGTATATTGTATTTTGACTCAACCTCTTAAACCAGCCGGAACAAACTCAACTCGTGGTATAAACCCATATGCGATTCTGCAGCCTCCTCTTTACGCCTTTATGCATGTTGTTACGCACGGCGGATTTGCATAAACTCAAGAAATGCTGTCCATGAGTGCTGATGAATGACATGTGTCTTTGGTCAATCAACATTTTGCTAGCTTGTGCAACTTCCTAATAGGCCATCATTACCAGCGCACCTTCTGGTTCAGTTTCCCCGCAATCACTACTCCGGTTTCCTGCATTCAACAAACTATGCAAACTCAATCTAGTATGGCGACTTATTAATGAGGCCATCTAGAAGACATGCACCATGCCGCCTTTGAATTTCTGGATATGGACTGCTCGACAGGAACCCATGTTTGCGGGTAGGTGCACATGGTGAGGATAGCCCTGGTTTGTACTACACTCATTTCCTTGGAGAAGTGCTACTAGTTCCACGCAGGAAAAGGCGGTGATGCTTTTATGAAAGTGGACTGCAACGACCGGGACCAAACAAGTGAGCTCAATTCTTATATGATCGCTGGATACAAGCCGCGCCGAGATTCCGACAGGTTCCGCTCTTGTCAGCCTTCTTGAGATACTTGCATCTCTTTTGCTTCGACTTCTCTTCAGCATCACCGGGGCTATGCCAGCTACTCGTGGAATGCCTACAATGAATTGTAGGGGGCAAAAAGGTCTCAGTACAATGCACTCCACCCCATGGTTTACATATTCATGGAGTAGATTCTTGGAGTTGATAGCCATGAAAAATGCCACATCTTTTTGCAAAGATAAATCCTCCTAAGTCGCAGATCTCAGCATTCTCGTCTCGAAATGGCGCAAGCATCTTGGGCTTCACCATAGTCAGATCTGTCTAGATACATGGGCAACTGTTTGACCATTGAATTGGAAGTAAATTCGGTACCTTTCCAGGTGTAATCATGGTTTCGGCATGCGAAGGTGTCTGGGAACGTGGCTGAGCGCAGGAACTGATAGCTTGTACGACGTTGTACAAGTGGTTGCTCTTTCAAATGCAATCCGGACCCTGTAAATCGGCCAGGGCACTGCGACAATATTCATACTACTAGAGTGGCAAACATGGTGGGCCATCAGTTTTCAGCTGTCCTTTTATTGTGTTTAGCTGTGGGTTTTCACCATGTACAAATGCAAAACGGGGAGAACTGTAATCTGGAAAGGTACTGATCCCAACTCTGAATGCTCGAATCAGAGGAAGCTTGAGCCATCGTCTCAACTAGTTATTTGGTTGCACCAGTCGAGTCTAGAGTCACAGGTAATCATTGGTCCTCAGTGAAGTCTATGGGATACTCCGTCAAGCAACGAGGAACCTCAGATATGGACAATGTGTACTCGAATCTGGCATCTCCTGATAATTTAGAGCGCTAGATTCCCTGCCATAATCTACCATGGACTCATCCTACGGTTCTTCTCAGCGCGTACACCGACCAGCCTTGTTCCCATTCCGAAAAGTCATCTCGATGATGTTCGTAATACAAAGCTTCCAATTGAGGATTGGAAGTAATTCTATTAACAAACGGAGCGGCCTGAGAACACCGTATGGCAATTGTGAAATAGGGGTAGACCACAGACGTCGCGAGACATGCTACACAAATCAGGGAACGAGTATGACTATTGGGAGGCTTACGAAGGCGTTTGGGTATCACGTTTTGCAAAGGATCGCGCTGTACTACGACTAAGCACCCTACGGCCGTGAATACATAGCACGATACTGAGTGCAATCAGACAGCTCGACAGCCATAGAACTTTGACTTTTCATTGTATGGAAGACGCTGTCCCCTTGGGACCTGCTTGTAGTAGGTTGACCGCCGCTTACATGAGCTGCCCACGTCACCTCTCTGCTGCAGGAAGCGCTATATTCTAAATAAGTAGAAAATAAGTGGCACAAACCTGTATTATTCAAGCTCGGTTGTGTGGTAGTGAATCGCAACTGGGCGCATGACTGAGTACCACTCGAGCACGCTACTCGACCCAAATGGGTCGGAAGCCATGATAACACAGGCGACAACCTTCCTCGACAGGAATGTGATACGCACCGTGATGAAGCCGCTACTCGGGTTTCCAATAGCAGATTGAAACCATCACGGTTACGTGGTAGACATAAGCTCCTGCTCAGGAATCAGATTTACTTGCCCATCTTAAGTCTTGGGTAATGACTACTCTTGGATGTAGCACACTCACAGAGCTCAACCACTGATGCCGAATGTAGCTATATAACTTCCAGCGCTGATGAACAGATGAACCAGATATCTCAAATCCGTCGCAGAAGCCTATTCGAAAAGCACGTGGGCGACACGCACCACCAGTCTGCAATACATGGATTGGATTTGCAGACACACACTGCGCACTTTTGGGGGAATTTAATTGGCCAAGGGTTTTTTCCCGGATTGATTCTGGCGTGTACCAGTAAGAAGCATGCGAAGTTTCTCAGAACACTTTGAATATCGCACATCATAGTTAGAGACGGGAACCTGGGTATAAGCATGAATCATGGTTATGGAACAGCAAAAGAACGCATTAGATCACGTTGGCACACAGGCAAGAGTATGTAAAGATCTCCACAAAACTAGACATGATAAATAGTATCAAGGATCAGGTTCACGTTATTGTGCGTTGAGAGGATACACAGAAACTCTGCGAGAATGAAAGTGGAACCAGAGTGCTGCTGTTCAGAGATAACATCATTTCCAATCATTAAGGATCCAGTTGCTGGCATAGTTCATCTCAAGAGCAACTCGGTTGGGTTGGCTAGAACCACAACACACTCATTGAGGTATACCACGGATGCTCGAATATACGCGGACCTGCCAAGAAGATAGAAAACTACTCAGCTTCCCAGGAGATGCGAAAACGACATGATTCGGAAGGAAGCTCGATCGAACCTACATGACATAGGACGAGGCGCCGGATGCAACCCCGAGTCGTCACACTGCGCCCACCCGTCTGCACCTGACACGGCCTGTATGCGATCGGCCAGTCTCCCATATTCTGTGCGCCATCGCTGGCGGCGACATGTATTGGTTGCTAGTTCGAGCATATGATGATCCTACACGTTATACGCATGTCAGAATCTGGAGGTACAAGAGCCCGATTGCGCGAGACGTGCTGATACGAGCCTCATGGCGATGCTGTGGCACCTTGCATGCAGGGCGTCGAATGCAGCAGACCTCGGGTTTTTGGTTTTTGGTTTTTTGGTCGATCAGCAGGCCTCATGGTTCCTGAGTGGGTTCACGCGATCAGCGAGCTTGACTGGTAGAGTAGGTAGCCGTCAATGAAGAGGCACGTGACATACCGTTCACACTGTCTACGATAGAGGGGTTCTTTGCCTTACCCCTAATTCAGACTAGTCACTTTTGTTGCCCCTCCAAAATTTTAGTACTAGCGCGTTCTGACTGCGCAACCGTCGCGGGCCATTGACGCATCGCAGCTACCCCACATTTGGGATGCAGCAAAGCCTTGCGAATATTTGTCGCGCCAGACTGTTGAATTTTTCTACCACTCATTTAAAGAGACCGCTGGTGACTTGCTCGTCTCCTTTGACTCAGAGATTCTTGCCACACGCCAGCCCTAGGCTTAGTCCCCCGCGCGTCTCTAGCCTGCACACACTCTCATCTCAACTACAACTGCGTGGGCAATTTGTACCAAAGCAATATCCAAGACCCATTGCATACAAGTGCGAGCGCACGGGAGCAGTAGCAAACTTCCAGTCGCTTCGACAATACTCGCAAATCGGCTTGACTTCCTTTGAGCCTTTACGAATTCTTCACGCGTCGGCGCGCTCAACATACACCATGGATGAACTCACAAGCACCCTTTCCAAGCTCGGCCTTGAGAAAGTACCGCAAGAGCCCAACACATATCCTGCCCTCAACCCTTTCGATATATACAGGAGTCACATCACCGAGTTGCTCTCCTCCGTCTCCGGCGTAGACAAGAAAATAATATACCCTACATTGGCATGGACAGCGAAACCTGAGCATGGCGATCTGCAATTGGCCGTCCCCGCGCTCCGCCAGAAGAAGAAGGACATGAAGGCATTTGCACAGGAGCTGGCCGACGCCTTCCCAGAGTCGCCGCTGGTCAAGAAGCCAATTGTCACCAACACATCGATTGGCTTCTTCTTCAAGCCCGAAACCCTTACTTCGCTTGTTCTGCCCATGATTCTCAAGTCCAAGGAAAGCTACGGATTCAACAAGAACCTCGGCCTCAAGGACCCCTCCGACCCTTCTTCTGGCCCCAAGAAGATGATTGTCGAGTTCAGTTCGCCCAACATTGCCAAGCCATTCCACGCCGGTCACTTACGAAGCACAATCATTGGTGGTTTCCTTGCCAATCTGTATGAGGGTGCTGGATGGGACGTTGTTCGCATGAACTACCTCGGAGACTGGGGAAAGCAATACGGTGTCTTGGCCATTGGCTTTGATCTTTACGGAAACGAAGAGGAGCTCGTCAAGAACCCCATTGGTCACCTGTACGATATCTACGTCAAGGTCAGCAATGTACAACACAACGAGGCAGAGCAGGTCAAGGCTCTCAAGGCTGAGGTTGCGAAGCTGAAGGAGGAGGGCAAGGATGCATCGGAGCAAGAGAAGCAGATTAAGAAGATCGAGGAGGAAGGTATTGATGAGCAGGCCAGGAAATACTTCAAGGGTATGGTAGATGGTGAGCCCAAGGCTCTTGGTATTTGGAAACGATTCAGAGTGAGTAGCCTTGCTATAATCGATGTCGTACTATATGCTGACTTGCACAGGACCTTTCCATCGAGAAGTACAAGCAAACCTATGCCCGGTTGAACATTCACTATGACGACTACAGTGGAGAGTCACAAGTAAAAGACGAGAGCATGGAACTTGCTGCCAAGACCATGTGGGAGAAGAAGGTCTGCGAGGACTCGGAAGGCGCAGTTATTGTAGATCTCACGCCGCATTCCAAGAAGTTGGGCAAGGCGGTCGTCAAGAAGAAGGACGGCACCTCGCTGTACCTGACGCGAGACATTGGCGCGGCCATTGAGCGTGACGAGAAGTACCATTTCGAGTATGTGCCATGACTTCTTTCCAGGAACAAAAGGAAAAGATGCTAATGTTCGTCACAGCAAAATGATCTACGTCGTTGCATCGCAACAAGACCTCCACTTGGCCCAACTGTTCAAGATCGAGGAGCTCATGGGCAGGAAAGACATCTCTGACAGGTGTCAACACATCAACTTCGGCATGGTTCTGGGTTCGTCCTCATTCCATTGATCCAACTACGATTCGCATACTAACAGACTCATTACAGGCATGTCGACCCGAAAAGGTACCGCCAAATTCCTCGACGACATCCTCCGCGACGTAGGCGAAAAGATGCACGAAGTCATGCGCACCAACGAGACCAAATACGCACAAGTCAAGGACCCCGAACAAACAGCCGACACACTCGGCATCTCCGCCGTCATGGTCCAAGATATGAAGGGCAAGCGCATCAACAACTACACCTTCGACATGGACCGCATGACCTCGTTCGAAGGCGACACAGGCCCCTACCTGCAATACGCCCACGCCCGCCTCTGCTCCATCTACCGCAAAGCAGTCGAATCCGATCCTTCGCTCGCAGACCTTGATCTCGCCACCGCGGCGGACCTGAGTCTGCTCCAGGAAGACAAGGCTGTCGAGCTCGTCCGCCAGCTAGCTAGCTGGCCCGACACTTTCCTCAACACGCTCAAGACACAGGAGCCCACGACGGTGCTTACCTACTTGTTCAAGATGGCGCATGCGCTGAGCAGCAGCTACGATCACCTGCAGGTGGTGGGCTCGGAGAGGAATGTGCTGATTGCTAGGCTGGCGCTGTATGTTGCGGCTAGGCAGGTCTTGTACAATGGTATGAGGGTCTTGGGTCTGAGTCCTGTGGAGAGGATGTAGAGGGGAGCGCCATGATAGCATGGTATTATCGATGATGACGATGATGTAGAGATGTGACGAATAAGACCTGTTTTCTTTCTTTCTTTCCTTCATTGCCTACATGTCCATGTTTGTTTTTCCGAGGGCTTTGTTCTGGGAGAGGGGTGGAATACCACAAGTACTACATATCAGCTTCAGACAAAAGATTTGTCAATGCAAGGACAACCAGACGCAGGAGTGGTTTTCACAAATCTTATTCCTATCTATTGACTGCTGTCTGATACATGCTGCATACATATGTATGCCAATGACGCTATTATAGCCTGGTGCAAGTCAATACAGCACTCGAGTGCCATCAAGCGGCCGAGAGCGAAAAAGATGCAAGTAGCCGAAGACTTCAGTCGAAGCTTCTAAAGGGCCACGCATATTGCTCCAATGCTTCCTTGTTTCTACAATGCCTACGAGACTAGCCAAAGGTATCGTACAGGTCCGTCTCCCGTCTCGAGGCTCCAGTTTTTGGGTGAGCGTGTGTGTATGTGTGTGTTTTAGAGTGGGGTTGTATGGTATGTTGTGGTATGATATGTGGTGTTATGGCATGTCATGTATCGTATGTAGGGTTCCGAATGGGTGGTTTGGGGGAATCGGTCGTAATCGTATGATGCAGAGTCGGAAACGACTGAGTGTGCAGGGGCTCCGGGGAAATGCTAGAAACAGTGCTAGAACGCTAGAGAAAAAAAACACAAAGGGGGAGACAACGTGCCGGTACGATGGGGTCGTCCCAGTAAAGGTCGATAGTGGTTCTGAAGTGGGAATCGATCGGAGTCAATGAGGCCGCGTGTGGTCAGCCTCGCCTCACCTCAAAGATTGTCTTTAGCCCACGTTTTGATATTCGACCCACTGCTGCGACAACCCCAACCATAAAGGCGACGCGAAAAGACAGAAACGCAAGACATAATGCAAGAACACAGACGGCCCACCCCATCTCGTCCACTTGTTAGGCGCCATTGGTCACAGGCGGCCCCCCTGCACGAGGGTCTCCGGGAGGCAATCCGGGCACCTTTTGCGCAGGCGGATGGGCAGGGTGCGAGTGATGAGGACAGCCATGGGGACAAGTTGCGACGGGTTCGTCATAGTCATCGTCATAGTACTCGTCCTGTGGGTCGAGGGAGCCTTCGTCATCGCGTCGATCGTAAGCACCTGGAGGAGGGTTCTGGTTGTGCTGGGCATTATTGGGGTTGTTTTGCGCTTTCTTGTTTGCTTTCTTGCCCTTGCGTCCCTTCATCCTAGCCTTCTCCAACAGACGACGCTTCTCCGCCAAACGTTTACGTTCCTTCCTATCCTTGATTTCATACTGTCGAATCAGGGCCATGGGAGGGTGACCGAAAATGTCTTCGTATTCACAGAACTCGCAAATCCACGGCTGACTAGGTGGGTTGTGGAAGTTGGCGTACTCTTGCTGAATGCGGCGTTTACGAGCAGCATACTCGTACAGCTTCGAAGCACTACGTCGAGGCTTTCGTGGCGGCGGAGCTTGCTGTGGCGGCGGGGGACCCGTAGATCGACGTGCAGTGCCATTGGGTGGAGGAGGGGGAGGGTATGTACCTGACTCATTCATGTTCGGACTCGTCTGAGTGCCCTGCGTAGACACCATTGGGGCGTCGGAGCGGACAGGAGGGCGGGCGCGGACAGCTTGGGGGTGAGATTGGGGTGCGGCCGTGCTTGGGTAGGCACTTGGAGATTGAGAGTATTGGCCGTTTTCCTGGCCTGGCCAGACCATTTTATTTGCTGAGTCAGACCCACAAGTGAAGGTGAATTGGGTTTTGTTTGCACTGTTCTTGGCGGCCTCCTGCTGTAATAGGCTCACGTTCTCGTTGCCGTGGGGTGGCGGGGTTGCTGCAGCGTTTGCAATGGCGGTTGAAATGATGCCGCTTTGCTCCGGAGGACCTAGAAAACAAATAGTCAGCGCACGGACTCTTTTTTAAAAAGGGAAGACGAGTGAATTCCCGAGGTGGCACCGTACGTTTGCTGTTCGCTTTGGCGTTGGTGAGGGTGCTGGACGTGGCCAAGACACGTCTCTCTGACCGACCCGAGCCAGAGCGTCCAAAACGCCCTCTGCCTGCACCCGAGATGCCTGTTCCAGAAGTCGTGTTATGTTGAGGTGTAGACGGCGCGGAGCCATAGTAGCGCGCAGCGCCATCTCCCTCGCCATCGTCGGCTGGCCCTACATCTTGAACGTGTGCTACGGCTGTGGCGGCCAGATCCACCGAGAGACTCGGGTGGTGTGCGCCGTTGCTACCCATGTTTGGAATCTTGCGCTTCTTCTTGTTGTTAGTGTTCTCAAACGATTCATAGCCGTCCACTGAAGATGTTGGCGAGCCTGGCTTGCGATGGGTCCCCGCGATACCGGCTGCAGGCTTTCCAGAGACATGTCTGCTGTACTGGTAGCTTGGAGATGCAGGCATGGGCCCATTGCGGTCGTCCTCTTCATCGTCACTCTCCACCTCGGAGTGAGTGTGTCCACAGTGACAGGCGTGGTGGTCATTGGTCCCAGTCCTGTGAGGACGTACTCGCTCATCCGCCATGTATGGGAAGTTGAAGAGCGGACCGGTGGGAGGTGGATTGTGCGGGTACACGATTGTCTCGGCCTGCTCAGGCGACAAGCGGGCGCGGAGAGAGCGGCTGGGTAGAGGGCGAATGGGTCGGTCGGGGTACATGGAAGACGAGGTGTCGGGCGAAGAGCGCAGCGGCGATGAGCGGTTCCAGTCGTAGCCTGCAAAACGAACAAGTCGTGTCAGATATGTGAGCGAAAAAAAGGTAGGCGTATGCAAAAGATACAAGTACAGGTGGTGTGGTGCGACAAGGAAATGGGTGGAGAGCTTGGTTCTTGGTTGGTAGCCCATGACGCCCTACAGCCAGTACTTACCCGCAGTCGCCGCTGCCATGCTGGCGATCCTTGCTCGTATGCCCAATCACCGAGACGGCGAGGCGGGTGTCGTGTCGTGCCTAAGAAAAAGTCCAGCTCCGTCCAAAACTATCCTCGGCCGTGTCTGGCGTGCCCACGTTAGCACTCGATGGGAGATGACTGCCCCAGCTTATGCGCAGATGATCGCAGTAGGCTCTCCTGACTGGGAATCGTGGCAAAACGCGGTGTTGGCGTGTGGGGAGCTGTTGACGCACCTTTTTCGAGGGGTGGTTTGTGTGAGGGACAGTACTGGTGGCTAGTCAGCGGAGAGCCCCTCTATTATTTCCGATGGCATGGCGACTGACAGGATAGTAGTGCTAGCAGGGGGCGTGGGACAAGACAAGGCCAACGTCCAAGAGACTGGAAGGACCCGGGACAGGCTCCTGGGTGGTCGGGACGAGTGACAGCGGCGATGGAGGCGTCAATGCCGAAGACGTGGTATTGGGGTTGGCGGGCGCCAAGGCTGGCCAGTTGAGGCACTTTGGGCGCTGTGGTGTGGCCTTGGAGCTCGCCAAAGCAGGGACAGTACTAGCGTCTACGATGGACTACTGGGCTAGCAGTCGCAGGATGGGCAATGTCGAGAGGGCAGAAATACGGAGCGGATTCGAGGATGGTGAAGACGACAGGGCCACGCACCAGCGGGCCATGTCGACGTCGGCTTGCATACCATCTCGCAACGACCGTGCTGGTGGCGCTAGAGCCCGCAGTGGATTGGTAATTGCTCCTGGGCCCATCCAGCAAATAACAGCCCCCCATGCTCCTCGCCCTCTACTACTTACATGGACATGTAAGTACCTATACTAGTACATGTCGCCTGCTGCCGAAGCCTTTACCGCCTCATCCTGTGCCCAGCCTCTCGACGTGCTCAGCTTTCCAACCTGCCGCGAGGTCCGCGTCCACTCAACGCCGTCACCTTCATCTTGACACATGGCGACCGAATAGTCACCTTGCCCACCCTTGGAGCTGGGACCAGCCACCCAGGTTGCGGCCTGAAGGGTACCCACGGCCCTCGGGCTATGTGTCTCGGTCTATGTCCTGTGTGTACTGCCTTGATCGAGCGCATCAAGCCCTGACTCGCCTATACAAAGAGTCCATTCTCCAGTACAGACGTGGTTCCCGCGTCTGGGGACTAGCATGTCACTGCTGACTGTCATGTGCATGATGATCGGCTCTGCCTCGTCCGGCATCCCGCTTGTACCTGCATTGCTGGCGGCTGGGGACCCCACAGGCACATCCCAAAAGCATGGTTATCCCCCCTTACTCGTCGTATATTGAACAAAGTTCGCCAGGCACAGTCCTTAGCCACACACCACGGTAGAAACCTTTGTCCGTGGGCAGCCAGCACTTGGCGGCTCGGGCGGGCGTTATGCACGGGGATAAGCCTTGCGTATCGATTACCGGCCGCCCGCCTACGTCATAAACAGAGTTCACGCCCAACTTCATACTCAGCCAACAAGCAGCCTCGCATCCAGTCAATGCTTCCACCCACACAGCAATGTATCCTAACTTCTATCTGTGGTTATCTGCGAACACCACCGTGAATATCCTGCTGGCGAGTAATGTACAGACACCCTTGTTGCTCTGTAGGCAACATTGCATACTATCTTTGGTCGCAATATCAGAGTACGAGGAAGCCCACAAGCACCTGCGCCTATGCTGGTGGACTTTCTGCTAAGATCTAGTCCAAGCACTGATGTAAAGATGAAACAACCTTTGCCGTTTCGACTTATCTGTATAAAGGTGAAGATTACTGCACAACCTTGTGCACAAAATACTACGCGATTCTCTCAACAATAACATCAACAAGCGCGTAAGTGTCGTAGCTCCAGATGTATGTGGCTGCAAGACGCCATGCTGCGCTAAATAGATGGGGTAAATCTAGTGGTGCTCCAGACCCGAAGCTCATGTGCACCAACAAATCAAATCATATCAATCCTGATCAGTCCACAGGAGATAAGCACCTTGGGGTCAAAGTACCATAGTAACGCACCCCACATGATTGCTTCACCCCTCGCTTTCATCCTTTCAATGCCAAGCGATCTCTCGCCCATATGCTTGTTTTCACTGTCAGAATACTTCTCCTCGCGTCTCTTCATGTACCTCATCTTGCAGTGCCCGTGCGCACCTCCGACTGAACAATGATACACTTCGTTTTTACTTCCACTTATATGAACTTCCATCTCATTCTAAACCCCGCTCTAGGTTTCCCTCGCGTTGCACTCTCCGGCTCAACAGGGACTCAACAATATACGGTTCGGGTCACAGTCACCCTTGATTACTTTCCCATTTTCCTAATTTAATACTATTCAATACACATAACCTACAAATTCCTCTGCCTTGACCTCACTTCTAATCCTAGGACAACTGTGACTCCGCAACACTGCCCAGCATGCCTATGATAGGATATGACGGTACTCTCTGCTACCATCCTTCCAACAACTGCCCAATACGTGCGGCTTTCTGGATGTACGAGCCGTCTCTCATCATCAACGCAGCTTTCCTTGTGCTCTTCGGTATATCCTTCATCACTTTCGTCGTTCAGGGCACCGCAGATGCAAAATGGCTTGGCTTCAGTCTCGCCATGGCTGCTGGTTGCGCGCTCGAGGTTGCTGGCTACGCGGGACGCATACTAGCCCAACAAGACATGTTTGCAGAGGTATGTATTGGCCATAGACGACCGACTGTCTTATCCGAGCCCATCACCAAGACACTGACGACTGACAACACTCAGACCCCTTTCCTCATCCAAATCATCTGTCTGACCATCGGTCCCGCCTTCCTTGCTGCAGGCATCTATCTCTGCCTCTCGCGCATTGTCACCACTATCGGTCCCGAATATTCGCGCATCAAGCCACTCTCTTATCCAAAGATTTTTATCCCCTGCGACATCATCTCCCTCGTGCTCCAGGCTGTTGGAGGAGGCATGGCCAGTGTTGCTATACACAACGATAAGAGTACCAAGAGCGGCGACAACGTCATGATTGCCGGTCTAGCTTTCCAGGTTGCAACAATGTTCGCATTCATCCTGATATCTGCCGACTTCGCCTGGCGCACATTCCGCATCCGTAAGCTGCTTCCACAGACTACTCAGAGTGAGCGGGAAGTAAATCCCCAAATACCACGGCCATTCACGGCTTTCATCATCGCCTTGACCTTATCCACCCTTTGCATCTTCATCAGATGCGTGTTTCGGGTTGCCGAGCTGAGTCAAGGCTGGAGAGGTAAGCTAGCCACGACCCAAAAGTACTTTATTGGTCTGGAAGGCGCAGCCATTGTTGCATCCGTCTTGATTTTGAACCTCTGCCATCCAGGTTACTGCTTCAACGCCGCCAAAGATGCAAGGGATGTGCGATCCAGCAGGAAGATTTGTTTTTTGAAGAGAAGGTCTACTGTAAATCAGGGCGATACTGAGCTAACACAAGTCACTACTACACCGTCAAAGTAGGAGGCAGAATGGGTATTAGACGTTTGGTCTAAAAAGGAGTTTTGGGAATAGGTACGGCGAGAAACGGGGAATCATCTCATGGTGCTTTCTGCACTGACATCAAGTCAAAAATCACGTTTCCTTCCTGGGAGTTTGATCTACTCATTTCATTTGTTCTTTCTAGTTCTTCTGGTTCCACAATTTTCCTGCTAAATCAATGATTATATCTACATGTACTTAAAGCATAACATAATGGATAGTCGTTCTCGACGGCATTCGTTCTCGACAGCCCTGGGTAGTTTTAATCGGGTTGGCATTGGTGCGAGCATTACTGGGCACGAACAACAAAGCCTCCACAATGAGACATTAAATGCACTAAAGCCCTGGAGTATGAATCTGTGCACATATCATGATTGGTAAAAAAAGAAAGGCTTGCCGGACAGCATATATGCTTTTGCGTGGGTATGTTGACGGAAAGAAAAAGTGATTTGTACAGTATGCTGCCGCATCTACGACCCAAATATCATGCTTGCTGCGTCCTACACTTGCTCACACGCCCTCTTTTGAAGCCTTGTGAGAGCTTCTAATGGAACCATCTGGAATTTCCACTCCTATCTCTTCTAACAATCCTCTACTCATCATCATATCCCGTTGGCCTTGGCCGTGGTCCCTTTGGTACTGCAACAAATCAGCGTGCCACTCTCTTACAAGAAAAGCAGATATAGATAATCATCGTTTCCTCAGTGTCTTTCCTTCCTCCCTTGTTGTCACGTACCTGGGTATGTCAAGGGAATCTTCGGAATGGGCTCTTCTCCCATGTATCTCCGAATCGGGGGGACGGTAACCATCATTATGGGACCAGCGAGGCCGATGACGATCGAGTAAAAGTAGGCCGGCTTGTTGTACGCAGCCCATTTCATGTACCGCAGCGGCTGGCGGAAGAAGAGTGGGGAGGGAGGGACGCCGGACATGTTCGCTGAGATGCTGCGTATGTGTGAGCGCGGGGGTTTTAGAGCGTAGCAGCGATGCGCGCGCGTACCAACTTTACTATCGTGAAGCGAGAAAATCGAGGCGCAACTCACAAAGGGCCCAATGCCTGAATCTGGCGTCGCAATTGCAAGTCGACTATGTCGTGAGGTTAGCTGCTGGTAGCTCGTCGCTCCTCCGCGCTCCTCCAATCGGCGCGCAGCGATTTTCCGGGACCGATAGGGCTTGGCAAATGCATACGTATCTCCCATGGTAGCTCTCTACGCGGCCGCGCATCCTGTCAGGTTCAACTTGCACACAACCACAAGATGAGGTGGTTACTTTCTTTTACCCTCGCCTTTGTCTGGTCGCTGGTGGCCCAGGCTAAGAGCTTTACTGGCAGCCGGTTGCTGGTTGTGCTCGAAGACCAGGCCGAGCGGGAGAAGTACAGCGTGTTTCTCGAGGACTTGACATGTAAGTTGATTCATTCTGTCAATTGCAGCTTGGTGGACCATATGCGTACGCTGCAAGAGCTGGGAATTGAATTGGTTCATGCCCTGGTTTTGGAAATGCAAAGTGGTTGAACTTGCAACTTGGCCTTATGCCACTCACGAATGCTTACTCGAACAACATTGTCGCATGTAACGACGCTGACATGCACGTACAGCCCGAGGATTCACTACAACCGTCGGATCACCAAAGGATACCACTCTCACATTACTCAAGCACGGCGAACGAGCATACGACCATGTTCTCCTCCTACCGGGCAAATCGAAAGGCCTCGGCCCTGCCCTCACTGCGAACAACTTCCTCGAATTCATGAAGAACAATGGAAACGTCCTTGTTGCCCTCTCAAGCGAATACCCTACTCCCACGGCCGTTCAGGCAATGCTACTCGAAGTCGACATCAGCGTACCCAACGACAAGGGTGCATTGGTTGTTGACCACTTCAACTACGATTCGCTATCGGCAGATGAGGCGCACGATGTTCTTCTTCTTCCGTTCCCAGGTGCGCTCAGGCCCGACGTCAAGAACTACTTTGCTGGCGAGGGATACATTGCGGTCCCGCGCGCCGTCGGTCAGGCTCTTGGAAACGAGTCTCCTCTCACTTCACCCATTCTTCGTGCCCCCAGCACTGCATACAGCTACAACCCCAAGGATGAAGCCGAGAGTTCCGAAGATCCCTTCGCGGTCGGTGGTCAGCTAAACTTGGTCTCTGCCATGCAGGCAAACAATGCAGCGCGCTTAGTTGTTGTTGGCTCTGCTGAGATGCTCCAAAATAAGTGGTTCGCTGAGAAGGCGAAGCTGAGCGACAAGTCCATCACCACCGGAAACCGTGAATTCGCTCAGAGGGTGTCGGCCTGGGCTTTCAAGGAGACTGGTGTACTCAAGGTTGGAAAACTCCTACACTACCAGGATGAGGGTGCCAGCAAGAAGTTGAACACCAGTGCTGCCATTCCAGAGAGCAACCCCAGCATTTACCGTATCAAGACGGATGTTGTAAGTGACTTGTATGTCCACTTCTATGGTACGAGGCTAACTTGATAATAGCATTTCCAAGTTGAGATCTCCGAATACAATATGGACCACCTTGAGCCCTTTGTCCCTGCTCCAAACGACAACGTTCAGCTTGAGTTCAGCATGCTCTCGCCTTTCCACCGCCTCAATCTGTCTCCAGTTGCGAAGACCGAAAATGCCACCATCTTCGGTACCGGATTCAAGACACCTGATCAGCACGGTATCTTCAACTTCCGTGTCAACTACCGCCGCCCATTCGTCACCAACATCGACGAGAAGAGGCAGGTCACCGTCAGGCACTTTGCTCACGATGAGTACCCGAGGAGTTATGAGATTAGCGGTGCTTGGGTTTGGATTGGAGGTATCTGGGTCACCGTTCTCGGATGGCTCGCATTCGTGGCTGTCTGGCTATACAGCGCACCTACTGAGAAGAGCACCAAGAAGATGCAGTAGATGGATTCTGGTTGGTTGTGGGGGCTACAGTGGGAAGGAAATGTTCTTTGTTGTAGCGGTATTTTAAAGCCATATCACCCATTGGCGTTGCGCGATATGTACATTATGGAATTAGGGCATGGGAATGGCCCAAAAAGCTTAGATCGGAATGACATCTTTGACTTGATCACTTGCGCCATCTTGTTGTTTTCTATTTTCTCTCTTGACTTTTCGTTTGATGTTTTTGACCAAGCCAGATTTGCTTCCCAGTCTGCATCGTTACAGCTTACTCTGCGCCTCCAGCACCCTTGGATGCGCAACTCTTCCTGGCTTCAATTTACTCCAATCCTCTTCATACTCCTCTTCGACATCGGGATACGGACCTAACGGCGTAATAGCCAATGGATTGATAGTCTCATGACTCTTTGTGTACTATCCAGAGCGAACCTTTTGTCAGCAAATGCACACGTGCTTTCTTTCGTTTTACTTGTAAAAACCATACCCCTTTTAAAGGGAAAAGAGAAGAAGAAAACAACAGAAACTCACATTCTCCTTAATATGCCTAAACTCCGTACTCTCCTTGAACCCTGGCACATTCCAATACAACCCCTTCAACCAATTATTCAGCACCGGATACTCATGCCGAATCAAGCCCAGATTCGTCTTGAAATGCTGCGCATACACCGAGTCGAAGCGTACAATGGTCGGGTACGCAAAGATATCCAGCTCGGTGATTTGCGACCCCAGGATATACGGACCGCCGTTGCTATGGATTAAGGACTCGAGTTTGTTGAGGGCGGCGAAGAGCGGAATAACGTGTTCTTCGTAAGGGGCTTGGGACGGGGCGAAACCGGCTTTGTAGACGCCGTTGCAGATGAGGTCTGTGAGCCAGGATTTTATTTCGTCAATCTTGTCTTTTAGCTCGGTTGGATAGAGCGCTGTTGCAACGGAAGGCTGCGGTGTTAAAGAGGAGAAGGCGCTCGGAAGCCATTTCACCATTTCAGCGCTTTCATTACAAACAATCTTCTGGGCTTTTTTATCCCAGATTAAGGGCACGGTGTAACGACCTTTGTAAGCAGGATCATCGCGGAAGTAGATTTGGTGCAGGAATTGGCTATTGAAGAGGTGGTCTGGGGTGCTACCGGGATAGGTGGCGTCGAAACGCCAGCCTGGTTCGCCTTTTGGGTAAGGGCGCACGATGGAGAGAGGAAGGTGGTCTTGGAGGTTGAAAAGGTGGCGGATTAGGTTTGCGCGGTGGGCGTAGGGGCAGAAGAGACCTGGTGTTGGGGTGAGTTGGTGGGATGGGATAGAAGGTGGTATGGAGATGATTGATTGATAATTTTGTTTCTTGGGAACCTTGGAGAATTTGCAAAAGAAGGCTGCAGCGGAGACTTTGACTAGGCTTACCGATGTAAAGATGGTATCGATCCTTTTCTGGGGGAAATTCTCCGCCTTCTTGGATCACGCCGTGCCAGCCATCGTCAGTTCCATACTTGTGAATTGCGGGGTTGGACATGATGAAGAGATGAGTTGGGATTGGATAAATGGCACAAGGTCTGAACTACGACTTTTAGCTTCAACTAAACAGGTAATTTAGAAATCCTATCAGGTTTTGAACATGCCTCAGTATACAGTTTGCAAAGATCAGCAAACTGTAATGGTGTTGAAAGTGTGGCGTTGCGGGACCCCGCGTTACATATGTAGCTTGCCCTTTACTTACCGAAATCACCCCGAGCCTACTGTATCCAGACTTCATTGCTTGGTAAGATGTCAATTAGTGACTGCTCGGCGTGCTTATGAACATATTGACATATTTTCATTGAATGAGCTCAGAATTTACTTCACTAGTTACAGCACTTCAACTCCTCGCACAACGACCCACATGGGACGCGACACTTTTCTTTACTTGGCCGCGCTGTGCTTGTAGCACTAGCCATTGCTAGAGTTACTCCTTCAGATGCACCTGGAGTATCCTCCAGTCTCTCCGCAGGAGATGCAAGCTCGGGCTGGAGTGTCGCAGAGTGTATACCGTATGCGTGCAGGCATTCAGAAAAGATCTTTGCTTTCTCCATGAAGCTCGCAATATCAGGATCACTGACTCTGACGTGCGCAGATGCAATAGCTTTCTTTTGATCCAGACGCCAGACGTGTAACTCATGTACACCCAAGACACCTGGGATGGCTTCCAGGTCGTGCTTGACATCTTCAATTTTGACGCCCAATGGTGCAGATTGCAAGAGAATCTTACCACTCCGCTTCGTAAGAGGGAGCGCGGAGAGGAAGATCATGATGGCGATCCACATACTGACTGCCGGATCGGCGTAGAAGCGGTTGGGTGACTTTACGAACCAGATTATTACAGCTGAGATGACGACACCAATGTTGTTGATGGCGTCACCAATGACGTGAAGAAGAACAGCAAAGATACCAAGATCCATGCCATGTTTCTTAGGTTGAATGACTAGATGCAAGTGATTGGCGTGTGTTGGTGTAGATAATCGAACTCCTCCATCGCTGCTGTTGCTGTGGCCATGACCATGGTCGTGATCGTGATCATGCTCGTGCAGGAACAAAACGCTGATGATATTGAGAAACAGTCCGATACATCCCACGATTAAGATTAGTTTTGGGTTGTCGACGTGTTCAATGGTGATGAAGCGCTCGATAGACTGTAGGGCGATGCTGAGGCCTAGGGCCAGTAGAAAGGCGCCGTTGAAGAAGGCACCAAGTAATTGGGCACGCGCCCAACCAAAAGAAAGGTCTGCAGGCGGTGTCTTGCGTTCTGACACTTGGACTGCCACCAGGGCTATAATAAAACCGATCAGGTCGTTGAGCTAGAACAAAGTTTAGATTTGGTACGAGCGAGTAAGATAAGAGCATGGTGTATATTCAAGTGAACATCTCCAGGTCTCAGTCAAACTTACGTAGTGGAAAGCATCTGCAACAAGGGCTAAGGAACGAGTGTAGAAGCCGACTGATATCTCTGCCAGGAAGAAGCAGAAAGATATTGTTATAACGGCCCGAAGGCGCGTCTTCCGAGTGATGCTAGGCATGGCGTAGAGGAAAATTGATGAAGAAACAATCAAAACTGCTTAGAGAAGCGCTTTGTCAACAAGCAAGGTGAGTGTAGTGGAAGTAGGTGTGAATGAGGAAAGCAGGTGTGTGCAGCACCAAATTGAATGAAAGTAAAGCTAAGTGATATTAACAACAATACATTGAATTTAACAATCGCGCAACACATAGTTCATGAGACATGTTTCCCTGTTCTGTGGCGTTGAACTCGGTGACAGATCAAATCTCGGTGACAGATCGAATTGCTAGATTACTGTGTTAGGTGTGATGGGGCTGCAGCCGTCCCAAATCTGCGACAGTGGATAGTCATTGCAACAAACCACCGTTCTCGTCACTCCTCGGAAGTAACGTGATGCCACGGCTGTCATTTTTGACAGCAAATCAGAAGATGACTTTAGTTGATAAAGGTCGATTCGTTGCGCGCCCTGGAAGAGATGGGTTGGCCTTCACATGATAGCGCGGTGAAGCTAGCCAGATGCAGGCTAGCGCCGGGATATCAATCACCGCCTTTGTCTGGTTACGGCCTGGACCCTCCCCGCCGCAGCAAAATATCTCGCAGCGACAGTTGGGCTTCATTTGGGCAACCTTCCATCTTTGGTCACTCTCGAAAACCAAATCTGCACTCACACAGTCAGCCACTAATTACCATTAGGATAACACAAGATGGGCAACGGAGCCAAGTACGCGACTGCCTTGACCAGGCGTGATTAGAGGGGCAATAACTAACGAAACGTTAGAGCACAGCAGAAGCGTGACCGCAAGGGCGACGCAGGCCCCAAAGAAGCCAAGAGTCAACTGAAGGCCGTATGTACTACATATTCTTGCACGACTTTGCGACTATCACCACAGGCTATTATTGTTGCAAGTCGGGTTGCTAACGCGCCACCAGAATGCCGCCGCCCAAACCATCAAGTGCAAAACCTGCTTCCAGACCTTTCAGGGCACCACGAGCCGCAAGATGTTGACCGATCACGCTTCCAACAAGCACAGCAAAGACTTTGGTGACTGCTTCAATGCCGATGAGGGTGTTGTGAAATAAACGGCCCGCACTCCGGTCGAACGACCGGACTCACGAGTGAACGAGAACGATCACACACTTTCCACCATTTATGCGAGCATGAGATACCATAAGCGAGGAGTTGAAGAAGGGGACGAGCATTTATGGCGAAATGAATGAGACTTATTGTATAGGCGTAGGGTGTGGAATTCAAAACATTGATCTTTGACCTTTGATTGCTCATGGTTCTGAGAATGCGCCATTTGTTGTCGCTGATTTATCCGTGTCTTGTTTATTAATTGTGGCAGATTAGGAAATCACCAACTACCACAGTTACAGAAACCTGATGAAGTAACGACACGCTGAACGAGAAGAAACGGAGGAGCAAATAGCTAGGGGAATACCGGCGGATATTCAACTCGTTACAGATATAAATTGGCCTAGTGGATCGGCGATGATTGCAGCGAAAGCTGGAATCTCCTGTCTAATACGGCGTATGGACCGTATCATTCGATAATAATTCCCGAGAAAACCGAGGACAAAGCATTTGTTACAGCGAGTCTTTGTTTGGAGAACTTATGACTAGGTTGTTAGATACCAAAGTATAGAGCAGTTTACTACAGGTATGATCAACTACCAATCACAATAGCTCGTGCCTCTACATCAATAGAAAAAACCAGCTCTCCTAGAATTATAGATTTTTAGCCTAGAAGAAGATTCACTAGTGCTGACATATATGGAATCTTGTAATGCAGCCACCACTCTATCATGGCTTCATCAATTTTCTGTGAATCTTGGTAATTTCAGCTATCAAAACCTTGACCTAATAATTTGGTCCAAGGCAATGCGCTTGAACTACAAACGTTTTCTCTACGCCCAGCACTTCGTAGATCTACCGCTTCTACCCCGCTCCACCCCACTATCCTCGGATCAATTTTTAACACGGCACAAACACAATCAATTCTTCTGATACACCCAAGGTCGCAACTGGGTCACAACAGTTTTAGGCTGGCTATGTTGTGCAGTATATAAATTCACAGAATTTTTATCTCTTCATCAAACAACACAACACCGTCTCCTTAGCTCAATTGGGAGAGCGCCAGACTGAAGTCTTCGGTCATTAAATCTGGAGGTATCGTGTTCGATCCACGAAGGGGACATCGTGCCTGAGCTTGCTCAGGGTTCTTCGAACCATTGTTTTTGCGGGTGTAGTAGATATATGCTGTGTACATCTTCAGATCCTTTTTTTTTCGTTCGTGTCCATTCGTGCATGAACCGAGGCCAATAAAGGATGCTAGCAGCTAGTCTTTTCCTCGACTTTTTTAATTTTTGCCAAATTTGGCGCGACTGCGTGATTGTAGTAGTTTGGGTCTTCCAAAGGCGTGAAACGCATACTGTACACTGTTACGAACCAAGTGAAGAGCATATGAGCAGCAAGGTATCGACATGGGCATGAGCACCTGTATGTCATACATATAATTCTAAGTGGTATATAGCTACATGGTCCTGGTTCGTCTCCTTCTATCATTCCAAGAACCCTTTTTGTTGAACATTAAGATCAGTGGCAATCAGTCCAACATACACTCTACATGCCATGACTCAAATGGCCAAACGGTTGTTTCCAGTCCACCCATGCCACACTCCACCAATTTCTTTCGCAATATCTTCCGCAGTCCGACCCTGTATATCCTTAAGGCTCCTGATGTCCACCTTGTCCTCCGTCAAACCCCGCATGATACCCATAGCCTCTGCTTCCTGGAAGACCTCTGGTGGAAATTCTAGCAAGGGATAGTTACTTGCGAGGAGGAGAAGCAACCAAGCTACCTCTCTACTCTGTGCATGTACCGCCGCATGGAGACCAGACTGCATATCGCCAATTGGGTCCTGATACCTCAGTACCCGGTCGATGCCTGTTTCCTTTTCAGGATCATCTGTAGTGCTCATCTCCACATCCCCTTGCTCGTCCTCATCGTCGTCGTCCGAACTATCGTCCAGCAGCAGCTCAATGATAGCCTTGTAGTCACCTGCGCGACAGAACTCGAGGAATGCGCGGGCCTTGCGATCTTCGGGGTAGGCTTTGAGGTAGGACTCTTCTACAAGTAAAGGTAGGATGTCGAGGTTTTCTTGGACTCCGCCTTCGTTGTTGAGTCTGCAGAGGACCTTTTGCGTGTTGTCTTCAGTGACGGAGATTTCTTTTGAGCAGTTGGGACAGGAAGTTATTTCGTAGGCTGAGAGAAGGCAGTCCCTGTGATTTTTTTTAAAGATTAGCAGTCGCATGGAATTTTTGAACGGTTTACTTACCAGTGGAAGTGGCATCCGCAGGACAATTGGACATCATCAGGGACCGTTTCTGGGGCGGGCGCAGGTGCTTTGCCTGACGAAGATGCGCCGCCTTCGTACTCTTCGTCTTCGTCACGCTCGATTTCTACCTCGAGAGGGTTTTTGCAAATTACACAGCCAGACATTTTTTTTCTTTTGCGATTCTTGTATCGGGGTTTGCAGGAGTTTAGTGTTGGTGAAATGTTTGGCGGGGCATTAGCGGGGATTTGGACTTTTTTGTCGCTAAAAAGCGAAAGATTGGTTCACGCGTCACGCGTCTGGAATTTGCACAGACGTCATACCATGTTAGAAAAGCATCAATTAGCGACTTTACTCGTTGAAAGAAGCAGAATTATTCCTTGGTAATAGTACGCACAATTACAGCAATTTGGAATAACTGGTCCTCCTCCATAGCGATAATGGTCCTTTTGGGCATTCCTGCTTCTCTTCGCTCTCGTAAACCTTTGGTTTTCCGTCGACTCGTTTCCGGAGTGCTTCACCCACAGCCACTATCCTGTCTCCTAGCCGCATAACCATTTCCTGAGGACTCATCCGATCCTGTCTGGGATCAAGGCGATCTTCGAAGTCGCTCTTGGGTCCCTCATACCTGCAAGCCATGGCTATCTCTGCATGCGTTGCTGGAAAAATGTCCCAGTCACCATACGAGGTCCACCGTCCGGCAGTGTCGTTCCGCATCTTTTCAGCTTCCAAATCCCGGTAACGATGAACAATTCTCTCAATTCTTCTCCTGTTCTTGCTACTCCTCGACTGTGTGAAATAGTCGGTGTACAACTTGCTCCAGTCCACCAGTAACACTCCATCTTCGGCGTGCCAGTACCAAATAGCCTGGTTCGACAGTTTAAACGGCCAGTACGATCCGACACTGACTGTAGCATTACAACCAGACGACCCGGCAGAAAATAGCCGGGACAAGCATCCAACCCGCTGCTGATCTTGTTGCCAAGTGTCTGACACCGGAGCCTCCTGTCCAACTGAAAATACTGCCAAGTTCGAGTTCTCAGTCAGAACGCGATTGAATTCCAGCTGATAGTTGCCGTCGGGAGAGCCAAGATCGGATGTGATTACGGTATGCGGCAAGTAACACATTGGGTATCCATGAATAGTCGTCGGTCGCGTCTTGCAGTCATGTTTGCGGCCACCCGTCTCAGTCACAATATGCTGACAGGCGTTGCAGAAGATGCTGGGGAGATCTGCGAGCGACCCTGCAAGCGAACTCTCAAAATCAAATCTCCCTAAAAACGAAGTGGGTGGCATGGTGGTAGTTGAATCGGGTGGTCGTGTGCAGACCTGAGACACCCATGATATTTAGAATCTTCTCAAAAGCTGTGCGCTCTGACTGTTTCCAAAACTTTGGTACAGAGGGTGTGGCCGACACGCAGGGTTCTGCTTGCTTTCACGTGTTACCAGACTTTCATTGCCATAGCAATCGTGACGCTGCGAGGTACGTGGTCTTACTGACCATGTAAAAGACCAGCCTCCCTCACAGTACCGTAGCATGACGTGGCTATCTACTCTGTCCTTACGCGCTTTTCGAATGAACGCGGTGTGCTGGGATCGACCAATGCAGGAAGAAGAAAGAAGTCGCTGTTTCCATCAGATCTCCTCTTTCGCGCCTTAGCCCATACCCATTTCTCTAAAAAAGCAAGCACCTTATCTAGGGCGGTCCATATCCCGGCTCCTCCCACTGGTAGAGTCGAAGGGAAAAGCACTATGTTATGCATCCGTGTACCTGAGGACCCGCCCTGTGTCTAACATGCGCATCACACAATACTACAGCACAACACAAGAAAGATTTTGCTTTTGGAGGGAACCCCCAATCAAGAGCCGAGCGCATTCTGTAAATCAGGTCGTGAAATTACGCTATTTGCTTCAAGGGACTGCCAACTCACGATCAACACCGTCTTTTCACATGATCTCGTGCCTGCACAGCGTCATTGCGTGCCAGATGCCGCCTCTACATTGACGAAAAACACAGTCGTGATAGGTGCCCGCACACATGTTTACAACAACCATCTCTCTTCCATGGCCACGCATGCGTGGTGCTAGCCTTGCACGACCCAAAATTCGTAGCATCAATGACGAAACGCTCATCAATCACAGGCTTCAGAAAGCAGGGCGGCGTTGGTGTTTTTAGGACACCGAGTAGGCTTTCTGGACACCTGGTCTTTGTGTTGTGGCAACAAGCAGGAGTGAGATGCCTTAATCCGATCATAAATATTAGTTTAGAACTACCCGGCTATCGTTCCAGCCCGGCCGTATGCTCGGTCAAAAGCTTTCCACGTTCCACTCCACTCTTCGTCTGCCCTCCGCTCTTCCTCGACCATTTCCTGGATGCTTTCTATGCTCTTCATCTGGGGTATTGGCCGGTCCTCTACATCCTTCAAGTCAACACTCTTGTTTTTCTTGGCCTTTTCGGCGTTGAGACGGCGGATGCTGTCCTTGTTCTTGATCAAGAGGCGTTGTGATGCGGTTCTCCATAGGCCTTTTGAGCTACCGACGCGGTGTTGAAGTGGCTTGTCCCAGTCCTGCTCCCATCCCTTTACACTTTCGGTCAACATGGTATTTAAGGCGACGTGAGAGTGAATCGAAGGTGGGTAGCAAATTTGTGCCCCGGTACTCATCTTTCCATGTGGTGATGCCGTACTATTCACTGATGGCGAAGTTGGGCTGCACAGATTATCTGTGGGGTTAGGATGCCTTGCGCCCGGTCGTGCAGTGAGGTCTGCAGCAGAGTCGTTTCTCAGTGTAGGTGATCGTGGCGAGTCTCTGTGGAACACCTGTTGGGCCTGGAACGAGTCTAGCCACGAAAGTACTGATCGAGGGCCAGGCAAGGGCTCTTCGCCTGCCCCTCTAAGATATCCTCTGGTTTTCTGAATTGGTGTCTCAGGGATGTCTGATTCGCGGGGCGTGTAACCTGGGCTTCTTATAGGAGACTTGGCTGATCGTGATGATGGGCGGCCTCCGACTAACGAGCTCACGCTTGCATTTACAAGCCGAATTGTCTTTTCACGGCGGAGGTTATGTCGAGTTATTGGTTGAAGCTTGCCTTGCGAAGGCAAAGCCCAATTGGTGCTTATGCTGGTCGTTTTCGAGTTCATAGTCCCTGTTTTCCCAGTGGTGGATCTTGATCTTCGAATAGATAGTGTATGTCGTGGCATATGGTTCGTAATGCTTGCACGATGAGGCGGTGGAGTTGGTTCACCCGTATCTAAGCATGAGGCCTTCTTTTTGCGGCGTGGGTGACATTTGGTTAAACAACTCCCGAGTTTCTTTGCCCATAGCAGGATGTGAGACTTGCGCTTGGACTTGGCCATATGGTCAGTTGAGTCGTCAGCTATATCTTCGCTCATAGTGGCGATCGTAGTGTCGTTTATGTCGTCGTTCATGTTTGTCGTAAAGGAATGTGTCGCTTGTTGTGTATTGTGCGTAAAGATAGAACTGATATGTCACAGGTAGCGAAACAAAAAGGAGTTTGTGGATGGGATACGAACGAAATATGAAACGGAACGAATGGAAAAGAAACTAATGTTTTCGTCCGTGTTGAAGGTTGCAAGACGCACGACCAGACAACAACTTGATGATGGAGTGGGAGCTATGATCACGTAGCAACGTGATGCTACATTCCGCAAGTACGTGGGCATATCCAGATGGTCGGATGATGATAATGCACTATCCTTCTACAACCCAAGTTCAAGTGTCATTGCTGGTTGTCATATGCTCCGATATAGACGCAGGGGGAGTACCAAGTTTTGGTAAATAGATAGTCGCAAGTGAACCCCCCTTCACTCCACCATCATGAACCACTTGGTTCGGTATGCAAACTGTGGAGCAAACTGCAGGTTTCCGAACGAGACTGTCCCATGCATTCTGCACGAGCGTTGTTGGGTAAATCGCTCTTGCCAGTAGATTGAGGGGTAAATGCGCTCTAGTTATCTGTTAGAAATGCATATGTATGTGCACGTCTGTTGAGAGAGCCCGCATTTCGCTGGCCAGAATATTAATGAAGCACTGATCTCTCTGTCGATTGTTCTTCATATTCCGGATAAAAAGACCAAGCTTCACACGTTGCTTTTGCGGCTGATGATGACCGGGCGATCCGTTTCGCTGCCAAATGTCCGCGGAGCGGAAGAATGAAAAAATGCATCATGTTTCCCATGGCATTTCTGTTCCTCATGACTGTCCTTCCTTTTCTACTGTCTTAGCGGAAATTTCCCCATGCAGAAACGCATGAAATTCCTTCCGCTTCTGTAACAGCTCATTCCTAACTTGCATATTTCCAGGATAACGTAGACAACGAGTGTGAGTGTCAGGCCAACACTCAGGAGTACAGCGCTTGTTGTGAAGAAACGGAGTAGATGAGCAGCGAACCCAAGACACCTAAGTATTCGACTCCTCGCCCTTTGCCGTCTTTGTGTTGCAAAGTACCACATCACAAATTCTTCTTGGCGTGATTGCAAATTCGAGGCCGAATCTGCTGTATGTGGTTGTATGCGTGGTCGAATCGCTTTGCTCCTACACCTAACGCCTTGTGCTTCCTCACCCAGGCGAATACGAATCTTCGGCTCATAACTAGTGACCAAATTGCACAAATCTCCAAAAATGACCTTGGCGATTGTCGCACGGTCGCTTATCAAGGCGACGCGTACGTTCTTGGCGTCAGGAAAGAGCCATGTGATGGGGTTACATGCTGTATGTAGACAGTGGCGGCCTAGACTGCACCAGAAACAGCACCAGGAGATGTGGATCTTACTCTCGGAGAAGACCTTTCGTGGCAGTACTTCTCTAGCGCAGATAGCTAGGAGGCGGGACGTGGGACGTATGTTGTGCCAGAGATCGTGCGCAGAAATGTGTCCGCAGATTTTCAAGATAAGTTCGGTGGGGAGACGATTAAAGCTTGAGGTCTGAGGGTGTTTGAGAGTACGCATCTCTTCGGATCGGCTACTTGACTGGGAGCCTCTCCGCAGTACGTTGGGATGACCTGACGGCCACAAGGCAGAAGTGCTCATGATAGGTTCGGTGTGCGCTGAATGAAAGTAGGCGATGCGCTCCATGTTGAGTATATGGGAGGATGAGGAGCCATCAAGATAAGTACTCTAAAGTATGGGCTGATGTGAGCAGCCGGGAGAACTTGCGTAGGGCGTCCCTCGCAAACTGTTCGGCGCTTATAGATGCGTTTGGGGGTGTGAGACTAATTGACACCGGACTTGGATGTTGGCTCATCTGGCCGACTATATAGTAGTATGCCTTAATTAGCAACACGGACATTTCTAGACATTGTCTGAAGCTACAGATGCCGAGAGGGTAGTTTACCCCATCTTCTAGGTTTCCCCTCCGCTGTCAAAACGTGTATAATTGAACTAGTTCAACCAATCAATATCCTCGATACTTTGTATTTGGCAATTAGCGCTAGCCAAAATAGTAGTTGTGGGGAATCTAAGACTTCTATCGACGTAGATTACCTTAATTGGCCGATTGCCTTATCAGGCGTATTTGACTGTATCATCGGGATAAGAACTAATCGAGTTAGCGAGAATTGCTAGTCGATTGGGGCTGCCTTCCGCCGAACACCCGGCCGACCTTTGTATCGGCACGAGCTGAACCTCTCTTTGATTTTGCGTATAGCCTGTTAGTATTGTCCGGAAAACTCATCAGCTGATGAAGGGGAGTGGGGAGGGGCGACACCTCCCGAGGGTATCTGCTGCTTGGAAGATGTAAAGCTCCAAGTTCGTCGGTCTAAACTTATGCATCTCTCATGTACGTAAGCAGATCACATGCTAGAGACTACTATGGAAATGGGTTTGTTCTGGAGTAAGCCTGGGGGTTTCGCAGTATCCACACCAGCGCGCCTACTTAGGTGTGCTCATTGCCGCGCTTTTCGCGATTCTCTCATCTGCAAAGTTTCATTTATATCAACTCCGTCAGGGCACCCATAGCAACAAGAATCCAGGCTGCGATAGGACTGTATTGATAGGCAGGAACCCCGTTAAATGTAAAACGGCTCTTGCGGATCCTATGGCGATTGAATCAACTTCCAGGGTAAGTAGAGCCTGTTGCCATGGAAAATCCCCATTTGGTATGACGCCGTCTCTCGCGCATATCACTAGTATGAATGCATACTTGGTGATTGCCGTGCAACAAAAACGGCCACTTTATTACTCCGAAGATGAGGTTATGCGAGATATAACAAATATGCTTGTTATTATGATTACTTCGACCCATCAGAACCTTGCGCTTTACTCTTGATCTCGGCTCGCTAATCGGGTGCACGGCATGCATTCAAAGCGCGTCCTACATACGTACGCACCCAGAAAAACGTGAACAGGGCATTGCCCTCCCACAAGCAGATATCAACACGTCAGCTCACTGCCAATAATGCTCTTGGCAACAGAATACACGAATGTTGAATGGCTCGGATACGAGGGTGTTTCAGGCTTGTAACGGCCGCGAGCCTCGTCGCCTCAGGTTTGTCTCAGTCGCGATCACGTAGAGCAGCGAGGTCCCCAGCCACTCCCGATTTTCCGGACAAAGAGGAATGCCAATGCGTAACATGACGCCTCCTACGCTGCGCATCATACGGTTCTGGGGGAGCAATAGCAGACGCACTGATCACTCGTTGTACTGTGATTGTTCGAACCGATTGCGCCACGAACTACAAGGTGACAACAGACGGCCCAGTGGGAACGCCTCGACACCAATCCTCGACAAAGACGCTCGTACTAGTACGTGTCAGCTATCAAAGTCTTGCGCCGAGAGTCCAGGGCAAACTCGTATTTGCTGGCCTAGATTCAGTGTTACCTGCAGGGTCAGGCACAGCCAGCCACAAGGGATGTTTCAACCCCGCGAGCACCGCAGATGGCATCAAGACAGGGCATTCGGCTAGCGTGACTCCGAGAGAGCACGGTGTCATGATATTGACATCTATAATCATGCTCTGTCTGCTACGAAAGGTGAGATCGCTGCTTGCGTTTGCCACACCAACTCTCTTCAACTTTCTTTACTTCTCTTTTTAGCGCTCTGGAAGCCGCTGCCAGCTGGACTGTGCCTATTACTGTAAATTCTTCTTTTTTCGGAGTTTGCAATTTCCGTTTTTTAATATCGTAATGGGGTGTGGCAAGTCTATTCTGATTACTCTCAGGGCTCTGGCCCTGATTGTCGTATTGGGAGTCACTGGATTGGGTGGTTGGTGTAAGAACAACACTTTTTTTCCTGGATGAATGAACCGGATTTACTAACATACCGATGTAGCCATTTTCACCATTCGTGATATCCAGGCCCGTAGTGATGCGATTCTCGATAGTGTTGAGTTTGGATCACAAGAGATGGAACAACTCTGGGCGAGGTTTTTCGATGCTGTCATCGGCGGCGCAATCAGAACTTGGGTTTCCATCAGTTTAGTACGTTTTTCGATTCTTCGCTCAAACCACAATACTGACGATATAGACTGCTCTTGCTTCCGTGATCGGTATCGTATTGATCTTCGCAACAATTCTACCTCCCATCCGAATCCGCTCAGCAATCATGGTCCCTTTGGAATGTCTGGGGATGTGCGCTATGGGAGCAGCAGTTGGTATTTCTCTGAGTTTCGCTTTGAGCGTGAATGCGCTCGGCGAGAGAGTTCTTGATACATCAGCTTCCCCAGAACTCAGGAGGCTTGCCATGCTGGTAGACCTCAGTATGATCCACTTCATCGCAACCGGTGCCGGATGGCTTCTCTTTCTGATCGCATTCATCATCGCCACTGTAGACGCATGCAGACGCGCTCGAGAGAAGGAAAGTTGCTCCTTTGAACCAACGGCATCTGCGCTTGGCATATCTCACGGATATGCCACGACTTTCCCTCCTCAGTCGCCCTACCGTATGCCAAGTATCTACGATCCGGAAGTAGCTCTGAACACGGACGATGCAACTGCCTCAGCATGGAACATTTCGCAGGCAAGAGAGTCAGTGGGGAGGGATCCAGGAATGAGCCGCGCAGAGTCGATCGTGAGCCAAGAGGGCAGATTGTCAATCGGATCTGATATGAGTAGTATCTCCGGTCCTTTGGGTCTGCAGAAGCCAGAACAAGCACAGCCAGCCCGGCCAGCCCGGCCATCAAGACCATGGAGTGGAGTTTCTAGCATAAGGAGCGGAGTTGTACACGCAATATGAAATGTGCATACGCTCCAAAAAAAGCCAGATGATAGATCGACGACTTCCAGCACTCGCTTCCACGAAATAGACACATTCGCTCCGCCCAGCTGAGAAAACCATGCCTCGATAAACTTTAAGAATGCAATCATGTGATCGCGTCTCTAGCGCGTTTTTCTAGCGCGTCAAACCAGGCCCTGCGTCATCGCCGTCGATAGCGCCCTCACCCACATTTCACGTTATTGCATATACTTCTCCCCATATCACAGCGATGGCAGGATTCAAGCGAGGCGGCGCTCGAGGCGGCTTCAAGAAAAGCTTCAACAACAAACGCTCTTCTCCTGATGACGACGACAGCGCGCCACGCGCAAACAAGAAAGCGAAAGGCGACGAGGATGATGATTCTCTTCCCATCGTACCTGAACTTAAGACGGACGACAACGGTGATGCGTTTGTTGCTGTAAGTGTTGCAATTAGCTCAGCACAAGCAATGTATGCTCACGAGAATCGTAGTTAAATAGCAGTGGCAAGCGACGCGCGACTGTTAGCGATTTCAACAAAAACACTTTCGTCAGCATTCGTGAATACTATGTTACCGATACTGGAGAGACGAAGCCGGGAAAGAAGGCAAGTTTCTTCCTCGTCTATCAGTGTCTTGTGTCTTGGATGTGATATTGCAATGCTAACGGAACTAGGGCATCTCTCTTTCCATTGACCAATATAATGCTCTACTCGCTGCTGCCCCGCTTATTGAGTCTGCACTTGCGAAGAAGGATATCAAGGTGATACGGCCGGATTATGATGGTGATGCTAGTGCGAAACCTGAGACAAAAGAGGACAGTAAGGAGGAAGAGGAGGTTGCTGAAGGAGAGACGAACAAAGAAGACGACGATGAAGATGTTGAGTAATAGGATATGAAAATTGTGGGGTGCATTCAACGTATATCGTACGGGCTACAGGGAGTTTTCGGCGCAACAGTCCCTGGTTGTGGAATCAGGATATAGCCTCACTGCTTTCTCATACGGTTACTGGGAGAAAAACAGGCAATTTAAAGCATCGTGTATTATGACTCTATCGAACTTTTCTTAAATCATTGGAGTTCGCTGCCTCTACGAATCTTTTCCCAACCATGATTACAGAGATTTCTAAAAAAAATTGGACTATATAAACTGGAATATCATAAGCCCTTTGTAGCCCTCGCCCCGTGAGCCCCTCTATTAGTCCCAAGAGAGTGCTTGGGGACACCTTGAAACGTCGTTTTACACGAATCAAAACATCTGTACAACAAACTTCTATACCGTCTGTGAAACGAAGACCCTAGGCTATATCAATCAATGACTTATATTGGTGGCATACAAAGACTTTGCTGAGGAAATAAGCTTTTCCCTAAAGCCGGTTTGCACCAAGCATGTTTATCCTCTCATAACGGGCATTGCATTGGGGCCAGACTCAGAGGCAGAAAGCTTGAAGAAACGACCAACGTGGTTGGTGACAAAGCAGCCGTAGAATCCAGGAATAGCCAAGGTGAAAACTTGAGTGTAGGGAGGGTTTTGGTTGTGTGGATAGTAGTCTTGGACCTACATCAAGTGTGACACGCCAGAAATCATATATTGTAGGCTGGTGTAGGAAAGGACAAGCGTGGCTTAAGCGCAGATGTGCAGATCCTAGTAGGGCTGAATTGTTCAGCCCAGGAAAAGGTAAAAGAACAAGCATCAATGTTTCAGACTGGAGAATATTCGAGAGACGGTCAAGGGGAACGAGCTCGGTATGGCAGGGGCGAACGTGCGTCTCTTGTGCGCGAGTACCTCCTCTCTCTTTCGCCGGATGCCGAACGCCGGCGGTCGCGCTTTCGGTGACAATCTCGAAAACCCTCACTTTCGTCTCGAGCTCGTTCCGATCGGCGTCGACGATGTCTGTTTTCCGAGCGATCTCTGCTCCTCTCATGACTCTTGCTCCGGTGTTCCTTCCGCCGCGAGCGCCTATCCCGCTCGTCGTGCTCTCCATGTTCCTTGATTCGCCTTCTCTCCCTATCACGATCACGGTCTCTTGATCCATCTCTCCGGCGGTGTCTGTCTTTTCTCTTTGCTCTCTCCTTCTCCTTGCGCTTCTGCTTCTTCAGCCTCTTGACTGCATCATCTACCTTTTCTTGTTGCCGCTTGATCAGGGATTCGCGCATGGGATCTTCTTCATCGAGTTTGTCCATGAGACGGCCCAGTTCAATCTCTTCAGGCAGGAGCGGTCGGTCTTCGTCCGAGTCAGATTCGCTTTCAGTCCTGCGCCGCTTCCCTCTCCCATTATCAGACTCGACTCCTGGGTCGACATCGAGCTCGCCCATGGTGTTGTCCCTCATGTCCTCATCGTCCTTGGGCTTGTATCGTGTATGATCCACTCTGATAATTCGATCCATAATACTGGCACCGCCTAGATTGTCGACGGCCAAGTCGCAACTCCGCTGGTCCTCATATTTAATCCATGCGAAGCCCCGTGATTTGCCCGTCTCTTTGTCGCGCGCGAGCTTGATCCATACGGGCTCACCGTACTGGGAGAATATAGTAATGATGTCACCCTCAGAGAGTTCAAAGGGAAGGCCGCCGATGTAAATGAAGGCGGTGTCGCGGTAGTCAGTGTGCCAGGAGCCTTCGGGACTGATGCCGGCCTCAAGCTCGCGCTTATTCAGCTGCTGAATGGCGCGAATCGAATTCATGGTGAGCGTTGGTGGTGAGTATGGTGTCGTGTGTTCGGAGATGAACTTTTGGAGAAGCTCGGGCTGGACTAGGAGCAGCATCCCTGCAGAAAAGGTACCCACGACGTGGAAACAACTACACCAACACCAACCCCGCAAGACACGCTCCCCGCCGCCGCATTGCCCTTTTCTCTTCCGCCACACAAATCCTGGCCCATCGTGAGTTGATCGCCCACACGGCCAGAGACCGCAGCAGGCAGCACGCAAGCCACCGTCCACACCACCTCCACAATGGCCAGCGCGCGCCGCATCCCCAACTTCCCCACGCGCACCCCGGGCAGCAATGACCGTCCAGTCACGGCGGATGCAGACAGGGAGGAGATATGGAAGCCCATGTTGGACAACATCTCGAGCGGAAAGCGACTGCCTGAGAAGAGTTTGTTAGTGTTGGGTGAGGCCCCCGAAAAGCGGTATAGGGGACAAAGCTAATTCGAGGGTGGCAGGCGGAACACCGGAAACACAGCGAGACTTTCTCGAATCAGTTTCTACAGACTCTGCAAACAACCGGAGACCGCCGGATCGTGGCAGAAAGCCGCCTGTTGCCAATCAGTTCGCCCTGGGATACACGTACCAAGACGTCCTGGACACGGATCATGAGGGTATGTGCTATCAACAGAGTGCGCTGCCTATTTTCTTTTGCTAACACCATCAGATACTCTCGCTCGCCTATCGCTGTACCTCCTCGCAAATCCTTCACCCTCCTTCACCCCACTAATCAAACCCTATCTCAACCCACGAACTCTCCCACACATGCTCATCGTAATACTTCTGGACTGGAATCACCCGTGGCTGTGGATACGTCAACTCCGCGATTGGATACGGGTGCTAAGGTCCTTGATTGTCTCACTGGACGATGCGTCCAAGGTCGTCTTGGAAGAGAACATCCAGACTTTGCAAGACAAAGGTCGCAACTTAGCCGCCGAGGGAAGTAGCCTAGAGAGTGTAAAGGTCCCGCTCGGTCCCGGCGAGTGGGATGAGCCTCTCGGCATTCCTTTGTGTATTGTTTGCCAGAATGCTGACAAGATCGAGACACTGGAAAAGGAGCGGGGATGGAAAGAGGAGGAATTCGACTTCATCCTCCAGTATATGCGCACTATTCTTCTCAAGCACGGATCGAGTCTGGTCTACACTATGCCTACGGCACCCGGTTCACTACAAACACTCATCCATTCTACTCTGGGGATCAAATCGCTACTGAAACAAGAGCAGCTACGGCACAATGTCACAGACCGAGATCGAGTGTTGGTCCCTCCAAACTGGGATTCATGGGCAAAGATCCGCATTTTGCGCGAGGGATTCGATGTGGAGGGCATAAGCGAAAAATGGAGTGTTGATATTGACATCCCCAACCATATGCGGCCAACAAATGGCCAAGCACCTGCCCCCATTGAGGGAGAAGAACAAACAAACGGCGAAACAACGCCAACTCCAGCCCCAGACGAGGAGGACCAGGGCCCTACGGCGACTTCAATCTACGAGGAGACGATACGCAATCCCGAATCTGACTACGCGTTGTCCAGCCTGTCTAAACAGGCCAACGGCCTCGAAGTGTCTAGCAAAGATCCACAGGCTTTCCTTACTGAGCAGGTCAACGTGCTTGAACACCTACGACGAGAAGACGAAAGTGAGGCTGCCCTTAAAGCTGCACGCAAAGAACAAGAACCAGTGTCGAGAGCCTGGGCCGATGACGCATCAGGTGTCGTCGAGGAGCATATCGGCCCTGTTCAATTCAACATGGGTGGTATCCAGGTCAATGCCGACGAGATGGTGAAGAGACTTCAGGTGAGCCGAAATTGAATTTGTTCTAACATGGTATCTCGGACAAAGAAAACTGACTGTACTCAGGACCGCCAAGCCAACCGAACGGACGATCCCGAAACCCCACCACCCAAGACTCAAGATACCAACATCAACGACAACGAGAAACTACGGTCCTTCTTCTCAAGCCTCGTCAACAAGACACCTTCAAGCACCCCACGCGGCTCATGAGCTTTTTTTCAATCAGAGAATCAATGCCTTTAAATGCCTGATTGCATATTGTCATGCATTCTTGCTCTTCGTCGTGTAGTTTTTGTTTCAAATTGGTGTCTGTGGACTATGTCGTCAATTAGGGCCACGGGCTTTTTTTTCTTCTCTCAAGATTATGATCGGCATCAGCATGGCTCTATACCCACTGTGTAAACTCGGTCTACAATACAATCTCTTAACATTAGCCTAAAAGGTTTGGAATCATTGCATCTTGTCTTACTGTGGAGGCTGAGTAGTGGGAATCGAGAGAAGATGAATGCTAGATGGGTGTTGTCCAACCATAAACTATGCACATAACAGCGATATAGCTGCAAGGCAACGTAAGCGTCCGCGTATGGCTAATAACTCTTGGGCATAGCATGGATTAAGAACCGTTGTCCTTGGTCGATCCGTACTAATCACAGCGGGTGTGGCGTGGGCGATTTGACCAACGAGTATTCCAACTTCAGGAGCTATACCCGAGATTGTATGGTAGTCCAATCAAGGGCTAGTCGATATCACAGCATTTAAGCTTATTTTGAGTACAACGAAAGACGCAAAAAGAAAAACGTGTATGCATGCGGGATCAGTAAATTCATCAAATTCATTTCCTACATCCTCGTCCAAAACGCCAGCTTTAGACCAAGACACCCTTTGGCTAAAACAGTCAGGTATATATATTCTACCTACGCAAGCTGCTGCTTCTGTCCGGTGACTAAAATTTAAAAAAAAACAAAAGGCGTTAGTAACATGCTTCATACTTTCATTCGGGTAAAAAAAAAATGGATAAAGAACATACCAGGACACACAGCGCCATCCCTGGCAGCCTCTACACTCGGGTGCGTAGCAACCTTATCTTTGTGGTGTCCGACCGTCGCCTTGGTAACAGGGCAGACGTCGCCCTCGTTTGCTTTGAGCATATCCGGGTGGTCAGGCGGCAAGACTGTCGTTGCGGTTCCGACGACGGGGCATAGAGCGTCGTCCATTTCTTGGGCGCGCGGCTGCTTGATGACGTTGTTCTTGAGGGCGGGACATGCGGTTGCGGTCGTCTCGTTGGTGGGGACTGGGGGGTGCGAGTGCAGGTTGTGGTGGTGGTCGGTTTTTGCGCCTACAACGGGGCACTGTATACGTAAAGATGTTAATATAGGGTACAGAAGGCTTGATTTGAAGGATAGTAGTGAATGGGGAGGTTGTTACGTACGGTTTGGCCGTCCTTGCTGAGGTCTATCGAGGGGTGGTTTGGAGGGAGGACATCGTTTGTGGTTCCGATGACTGGGCACGACATTTTGGAGATAGAACTATGTTGTGGTGTTGTGGTATTGGTTGGTGTTGTTGGGTAATTTGGAGGCTAATAGGTGTCCTTGAGGGGAAACGAGGAGAACGGATAAGAAAAGAGGAGAAGATAGCGGTATGGATATTGAGTTTTGATAGACTTCGTCCATGGGACTTGTATGGTCCGGTTTGAAGCTAATTCCCCAGATTTGCAGGGATTAGGCGGTTGACGTCGTTGTCAGCGTTATCGTCGAGCCGCTGATTGGGTGGACTGGCTGGGCCCGAAGACATCGCCCTGTGCAACGCTCCCTTTGTACGTTACACATCACGTCATGTGGTCGGAGAGTACCGATTGATGTCTCGCATCACGTGCTGTCAGACCTGACGTACCCTGTGGTCTGTGCAATGCTGTAGCATAACAGTACTACTATTATGTACTTAGTATGTACAGTATGTACAGTGCACTATACTTAGTACTACTACAACTTACACATGTCACATAGGGAAAGGAAAAAAGTCGATCCCTATGTGAGTGACTCTTTGTGTATGCATTCGGTCTTATACAGCGCTGTGTTAGTCTTCTCATTAGGAGGAACGTACATTTGTTTCTTTGAATCACTCTATGTCCTCGTATTCGTCCTTGTTTTTGTCACCACACTCTCGAGCTGTTCCACCTTTGTCATCGGCGCAATATCCTACTCAAATACCCTTGCGGTGGTTTCGTCATCGAAGGGAACCTTACTTGAGACGTTTAGAAGGATTCAAGACTGAAGGGTACAATATCGCGGTTCTTAGGGGCAGCGCTATTTATTTCTCAGTGTTGATTTCGTCATATTGCACCCATGTTTTCTCTTCGTCGGACCCGATATCTCATCTAGTCTCATTGTGAGGAAATATCCACGCCAATCGCGTTTGTCGGCCGGTGGTCCTTTTCGGGCCTAGGATAGGTTGGGTTCTCTTACAAAATAAGCAGCTGTTGTGAGCGAAAGAGGGCTAACAAGTCCGCCAAGATAGAATCCAAGCACGTGTCCCCGTGATTCGCCACCTTTAACTATGATTGGAAAGAAGATGGTTGTTATCGCCTTGATATGTACTAGTAGTACTAAGCAAATTCGTCTCGCAGGTTATGCTGCGGGACCCGGCGCGTATCTGCGCCTGGTCCACAATCTGTGCATTATCTGCGAAATATTCAGCAGAAAGAACACGACTCGTAAAGTTAGCCATGAAAAAGAAGGGCTCCGCGCTGAAATGCCATGTTTATGTAATAAAGTGTTGTGAACTGTCCGAGGTCCGGCCGGACGGTCACGTTTCCCGAGCTTGATATTCCCTTACTTTAGCCATGTTGCCGTAGTAGGGCAATAGATGAGGAAATTCATGTTACCGCAACTGCCTCCATCGTCCATGAGCAGATTCGCAACGTATGGCACTGTAGCGGGGCGTTTTTGACTGTGAATGACGCGTATTGCGATAAGGACGTCAATGCGACTACCCACGTTTAGGGAAGGCGCCTCTATAATGCTGGGGAAAGCGGTATCCAGTTCCCATCTGCTGACCCAATTCCCAGAAAAACACCGCGGCAACTACCCCACACTCTTCCCCAGCCGGCTCTTTTGCTCCACTAATGCATGCATCGGTATTAAAATCGCCATCCATGAGCCGCATAGTGCCGGGTCAGGTGGAGCTGCTGTTAATCTATCCATTTACTGCCATTCGCTGTATGAATTAGCTTTATATGAAAACACCAATCTCGCACTCTACATTTTCGGAGGCTAACGGCCGTTCTTCCAGTGGTGTATGCATACAGCCGTAGCATGGGTTTCATATGTAATATCTAACATATTTGTTTCCGTCTGCACTTCAATCCATCTACGCAGGTTACCGTACTGCTGTTCGGCTTGCAATTGACATTGACATCCGTCGTCAAAATGTTCGCTGTTCCTGTACTGGTGACTCGCAATGTGTAGGTAGTATCTTCGCAATGAATTTAATCGCAATGCTAATGCATTCATAGGGTTGACGCCCCATACAAGGGGCCAAAGGATGGAATGTCGCCCATTGCGCCATCCATAACATCCTCTGCCTCTTCAGATGACTCCTTCGGGTTTCTGGATCGGAGGGACTCCACATCCTCCACCGTATCGACTGCAGCGTCTTCCATGACGTCTGTTGTACAAGATAGCCCTCGCCCTAAACATCGCAAGACGCTTTCTAATGGATCTTTTACTCGCCGGCTGCTCCAGAAACGTAAACACTCTCATCGAGAAAGTGTGCCCCTACCCACATCATCTCCTATCATAGCCCCAGCGCCTTGCATGCCGGCACCTGTTGAGATCCCTCCACCCCCATCTCCAGCAGAAGTAAAAACCTACGATCTGGTTGTTCAATGTAGAAACCGGACGTACAACTGCGACCGGGAAATTATGTGCTACCACTCACGATGGTTTGCTAGAGTGTGCGCCATTGTCATGTCTCCAGTACGCTTACCCATGCTTCTACTGAGATTTTGCTGACACCAGCAGAAATCGTCAAGAGGTGCAATTGATTTAAGCGCAGATGACCCCCTTGCGGTTGCAGCAATGATGCAATACTGCTATCAACTAGACTACGATCAACTGTCCATCTCGGACGATGAAGCACCCGAGCCCGCTACTCTGCGCTCACATGTCAATGTGTACATGCTAGCAGAGCGGTACGGGGTTGCTGGATTGAAAGCTATTGCCATGGAAAAGTTCAAAGACCTCGCCACCGTAGTACTGAACGAAGATGGTCAAGAAGACCAGCTGCAGTCTGCAATTCGCGCTATTTTTGCCCCGGATCGTATTGCAAACGGTGATGAGCTGAGAAACGTCATGGTGAAACTGTGCGCGGATCATGTGCAAGCGTTCATCCACGACACGGGCAAGAAGATGGCTCTCGTGTACGAGTCAATGGAAGAGTTTCCAGAGTTTAGAGCAGAACTGTTTGAAGAGATGGGATCTCGTTGGAGGGTTTGAGAAAGTGTTCATCCGCTGTTGTGCTGCAAGCGATCGTTTGGCCCCTGAGAATCACAACTTCACCTTCACCAGGCTGCTTATACTTGGCGAGCTTCTCATTTCACTAGGCGCAGTTCAGATTGCTACGTTCGCGTTTGTTTCGCGTTCATGTTTGGTCAGCATTTGCAACCCATCGGCGAAGAAGAGCCTGCTCCCACATGCCTCCTACAGTACACTTTGCGCTGTAGCTCGCCACAATGGACCAAAGAGGAAGTAAGCGCGTCTACAGCAACGCTTTTCAGCATTCCAACGATCAATATCGTAAAGCACTGCGTAGTGTCGCTGTATCCTCTGCTACTTCTCGATCTTCTTACATACCTGCAGTCTTGTTTGGCACCGACAAAGAAAACAGTACTCCGTTTCTTCACGCCGAAGCAGATGCGGAGATTTTGCACAGTTCCCAGAATATACGACTACCGCTGGGCCCTTACTTCCTCGAACGTCAGCCATGCCTTCCTCGTATCTCAGAGGTATTGGAGGAAAGTGGACGAGGCATAACCCTTCGGGAACCAGGGCAGCTTCAAATGGACTCATCTCCTCTTGACTTCCACTTGGACCTCGACTCCAGCTCTCCTCTTGATGACATTGTGGGCTTTGGTGCTTACACTGGACCATCTATCTTCGAAGATTCAAACACGGCATTCGTCCGCGCTGGCCAGGATGGCGGATGTACTTCGACTGCTCTGCACTTTCAGGACCTCTCACTTTACGACACTCCAGAAACAATAGTCCCGGATCATATCGAGTGGTCAATTGCTACAGCTCGTACAAGCATTTCCACAGTCGCATCACGATCTCTACAGTAGTAAGTACCCTCTCCCCTCCACCTGCACCCACATGTGCGTATCCTAACTCTAGCACAGCCCATTCCCCACCCTCCACCCCAACGACATTCTCATCATCTTTGAAAAAGGTCACAAGGTCATGAAACTCAGCAAATACCTTGTCATGTTCTCATCCCGCTTCTTCGCCTCCATACTCACCGGTACCTACACCCCTGGCTACACGCGCTGTCTCCGCCTGCGGAACGACTTCCCTCCCGCTATTACCACCATGATCCATTTCCTGGAACAGGGCATGTATGCACTCGATCCTGTGACGCGCATCCAGTACCCCAACTTGACGCTCTTTGATCTACATGTCCACGCTTACGTCGTGGGTGCCAAGTACGATGTGCGCAGGCTGTGCGATTATGCTATTGACCAATACGTCGATATCGCATGCAGGGTTCTGGACACGAGCGGTGTGTATGTCAACCAGACCACTGGCATTGTTTCTCCGACTGTGAATTCCTTTCTCGATTCTCTAGTACTTACCTGGCGGAATACACTGTCTAGCGAGGATGCGTTGCGTCAGGCGGCGCTAGAGCTGGTCAAGGCAAAGATACATCAGCTTCTTCGGGTCAGGTTCTTCCAGACGCTGCTGTGGGAATTGGTGGAATTTGGGGATGATGTTGTGGCTAGTTTGCAGGAGGATGGGTTCGATGTCAAGATATTGCCTATGGTGGCTGGATGGCAAGACAAGGCAGGTGTTAGTTTTGGTCGTGCATGAGCGTGTAGATCGGGTGGTGGTCTGTCTGCTCAGGGTGGTTAATATTACGAATGTTTGTTAGGCGTTGTTCAAAGTACTCATGGACGATGGGGATCGCATGGTAGTCTGTCTTTATGTAGCCGTTTCATAGCCTATGAGGACAATTATGGATGGAAACACAATGGCACTTCGCCCATGTCGTGCACCGTCGGACAATAGGAGACCCGGCAAGAAGTTGTGGCTTGTGCTTTGGGACTTTGTGGTCGCTCGAGCCACGTATGGCTAGTGTTACGTGGATGTCGTGAATTGACGCGTATACATGCACAAAGGAGGCGGAGAAGTTTTTTGAACATTCATAACATGCATCATCTATGTAGTATGTATGACTCCCGTGCACGTCCATGCTGTCGTCGCCTTACGGCTAGGCACAGAATCGTAACACGAGGGCCAATTTACTCTTCGCGATCCGAGTGGAGTTCGATCGCCCATGGGAGAGCAGGACGAGACCTCAAAGAAGATGGCGTGTCTACAGTCGAACCGTGGACGGGGTTCTTTAGATCTTAATAAACTTGGTATGTGAGCCCTTGGCAACAACTGGGCCAGGCTTGCCGTCGACTAGCTTCCAGATGGTCACGCTGGTAAAGGCAAGGGTGCCGCCGACTTTGCTAGCTCTGCCCTCAATTTCTATAGTATCGCCATCCTTTGCGCCACTAAGATACGAAACGTGGATGTCAGTACTGACGCCGGTCTTTGAGCGGCTATCCCAGCAAACGATTGCCAATCCTCCAAAAGCATCTACAATGGTAGCCGACACTGAGCCGTGTATACTGCCATAGGTGTTGACGTGATTGTTGGTCAAGGGTAGCCGTGCGCGCACGACACCCTTAGCCGCATAAACCAGTTTGAGATCAGAAAGAAGAAACTGGTAGATCGGGCTGCTTAGCTTGCGGTTCTCCCAAAACTTGTCAACATGGACAAGAGCTTCGGGGTCGTTGGGAGCGTCGCTAGACATGGCAGAGGATGGCGGGAGGGGAGTGCAAGATTTGTTGGGTGAGGCGGGGCAGGCCTGGGATTAAAATATGTTCGGACGGAATGAAGCTGGGGAGATTTGGATGGACGCCCGGGGCCGGGGCGGTGTTACTTTTTTGCGGCCTCTACTGGTACGAGTGAAACGGCCAGGCGAGCCCCATGAGCGGTTCGGGGCCGCCACATACAAAGCATATCCAGTCTGCCGCGCTGGACTATGCTTCACGGCAGGCCTGGACATTTCCCACTACTGCAAAGCCCAATGTTCCCACCATGACCATGCCCGACACCGTTGACACTCCTGCTCCCCCGAACCCGCCCCAAACCGAGCCCGCAATCGAGCATGCCCATGCCACTGACTCGCCGCTGGACGGCACCGCTGCAACACCAGAGAGCCCCGAGGCCGTAGTCGCGGCATCTTTCTCCAAGACAGAGCCCCAGGCAGAAGCCAGCATCGACCTCAAGGCTCTCACCGACCGCGCCTTACACTTCTTGGCAACGGCGAGCAATGAGACGCTGGGCGCTTGTCTCGCTGGCCTGGGCGCTGGTACCTATCTCATCCTTGGACGTGTCGGCCTGGTGCTCATAGGCGTCGTGGGCGGCGTGGTCCTACATGCAACATGGGAGGGCTATCACAGCGACAGCCAGGGCGGACGGGGAAAGAGTGCCGAAGCCAGGAGACGCGAGCTGGGCGCCGACATAGCACAGCGTGTCCTCGACTGGCGAAATTCTCACTCTCTTCACGACACGGCCGAGAAGCATGATAGCTACGACCTCAACGTGCAGCTGTACTCGGGCAAGAAGCTCGACTACTCCGACTTCAGGCCGGAGACGGCGGCTGCGCTGACGGAGCTGACGGATGCAGTCATTCGTGACTATGTCAAGTATGTCCTCTGCGCAGTCTTTCGTAGATACACTTCTAATACACTGCAGGTGGTGGTACTCGCCCCTACTGCCCACCGAAGAATCCTTTCCCAACTCGTGCCGCCAGACCTTGACCGCTTTTGTGCTCTCCATGTCCGCACACATCTCCCGTAAGAGACCAGCAGACAACTTTGTTGACTTCGTGACGCGCTCCTCGTCCTTTGTCATCATCTTGCTGCAAGAGATTGTCACCGCCATACAGGCGTCCCCCGGCGATTTCCCAACAGAGGCAGTTGATTTGTATCTCAAGATGAAGCGGGACAGCACGCTAGCCAACATACTCGATCCAGACTACCAGATGAGGCAGTTCAGCGTAGCTGCAGAGGACGTACTCCAGAACTATTTGGACCCAAAGACATACAATTGTGCGCCAGCACGCATCTTCCTACATCAGATACTAGCTAAGCTTGTCCTGGAAATGATTGTCGTGAGCTGTTCCAAGCCCGAATGGATCAACGGGTGGATTGTCCAACTCTTGGAAGCAGGCGAACCTGAACTTCTGAATGCCATCGATGCAGGTGTCGAGGGGTCATCTGGACAATTGTCAAATGCCACAGTGGATGCAGAAAGAACACCACATAGCCGAGACATGTCTTTGGCTGAAAAGAAGGAGCATAAACGTGTCGTGAGCAAGGCCCAGGAAGCCATGGATGATGCCATGCGGGAAGCTCAGCGTTTGAGCCAGATGATTGCTGAGGAGGATGCAAAACGCCTCCAAGAACAGTACAAGCAAAGCGCATCCACTTCGACACTCAATGATGATCAGTCCGAGAGCACCACTCAGGGCATCGTCACCCCGTCATCTTCAGGCAGCGATACACATGCTGACTTTGAGCCGAACGACTTGGGTATCTCAGGCCTTTCTAGCCCATCATCACCTCCACCGAAATTGGCCGAGGAGCGTGCGAAAGAAGAGGAGGCGAAGCAGGCATTTACTAGCTTTGATCAACTTGTGCTACCCCAGCCACCAACTGCATTGATGGACAATCCCCCGTCTGCTGAAAGGCCGCCACCATTGACACTCCACAACAGTATAATGTCAATTTTTGACGACAGTATGCCTGGTGAAAAGGGCAACATCAAAAGCAAGCCAACTGCAGAATACTTGATCCAAATCGAACCAAAGTCCAATCACCACACAGGATGGATGACAGCACGCAAGTATAGCGAATTTGAGACTCTGCATGAAGTCATGCGTCGCATAGCAGCCATCACTGGAGCGACTGGATTCAGTGAAGCACACCCCTCGTTGCCAACCTGGAAAGGTCATACCAAAGCATCTCTTCGCGGAGAGCTCGAACGCTACCTCAATCACGCTGTGCAATATCAGTCACTTGCTGAAAGCGAGGGCATGAAACGCTTTTTGGACAAAGAACTCGGTTCTGGAAAGTCTCCTGGCGGCGGTTTCCCTGGAATGAACTGGGCAGGCCAGACTTTCGATACCGTGGGCAAAGGTATGCTGGGTGTACTGACAAAAGCCCCTAAGGAGGTTGCTGGCGGTGGCAAAGCGCTTTTCGGTGGAGTCAGCGGAGTCCTGAACAGTGTGACAGCACCATTATCAGGAAAGAAGAACCGTGAATCGGTCATCAATGCTACCAGCGCTCCGACTGCTTCTGCAAGCCCTGCTCTCAGCCGCACTTCAACTTCAACAGCGCCTACCCAGACTCGAGATAGGGCGCAATCAACAGTTTCTGAGCTGCCTACACATATTCGTTCAGAGAGTACCCTATCTCTAGTAGCAACCAAGCGCACTTCAATGGATTCAGTGCGGGATCCAAACTCTCCTGTTATCGATCAACAACCAACACGAGAAGCGCCCATGGAACGACGACCTTCTTGCAATCCCGAAGGCGACGGCAAACGCTCCGGAAGATCGTCGAGATACGGCTCAAGGACCAACAGTCGTGCCCCAAGTACCCACGGCAAGATTGAAGATCTTAGCCCTATGATGGGTGGTGACCAAATCCTGAACCTTCCGCCTATGCCCAGCGAGATCCCAGATGATTACATGTCGCGTGATCCCCCCGATCCCACACACAGCCAGAAACCATCACAAACAGCTATAGACTCTACACCTTCTCTACCCCGCCGCACCTCGACAACATCCATCACCCCATCATCGCCCTCGAAATCCGCACTCAGAAGGACCCGCACAGAGCCAACCTACACACCCCTTTCCGAAACCGAAACAACCGTCGTAATCGAGCTCTTCTTCGCAGTCATCCAGGAACTTTACACCCTCTCATCCGCCTGGACCCTCCGCCGCACCCTCCTCAACGCCGCAAAAACCTACCTCCTCCGACCTTCAAACCCCCAATTATCCTCCATTACTTCCCTCCTCCAAACCACCGTCCTCGACGACAACACTTCCGACACCGGTATCGCATACCACATCCGTAAGATTCGCGAGAACGGGCTTCCCACCGAGGACGAACTCAAGACGTGGCCTGAACCCATCTCTGAGGATGAAAAAGAGAAGCTTAGGGTTAAAGCGAGGAAGTTGCTTGTCGAAAGGGGTATGCCGCAGGCGTTGACGAGTGTTATGGGTCAGGCAGCGAGTGGTGAGGCGCTTGGGAAGGTGTTTGACTGTTTGCAGGATCAAAGAGTCGCCAGGGGTGTCATGTTTGGCCTGGTGCTGCAGGGTTTGAGGGCTGTGACGCAGTAAAAGAAGACACGAAGTTTGGTGTATGAGAGAGGAGGAGGGGGAAGAAAGTGTTGGTATGAAAACATGTTATGAGTGGTTTTTAGCCCTTTTGCTTTTTTTAACATGGCGTTTGTAATAAGATGGTGTGGGAGAAGAAACAGTACATGTTCTCCTTGATCTGTTTTGATTTTTTCTATTTCTTGTAAGCGGATAGAGAAGTACATGTTTAATATCACAAAGTTCAATGTCATGTTTGTATCACAAGAACAAGACACAAGTTTGGGAAATTCAGATCCATTCATTATAATAACTACTAGTAAAGTGAGTCCTATTCGATTGCTACTTGCGCCACTCCAAACAAGATAAAAAACTCGTAATCAGAACTTGCTGTATCATACAAGAAGAAAACAAAACAAAAGACTGTGAGTCCGTCCATCTGCCAAAGTCATAACGCTCATTAGCAAAACCAGTCGTACCGATACATATCACTCATGCCCAGTCATCATCAAGCAATCCCATATCACCCATTCCTTCATGCACAAAACTTCCATGCCCCATCGTCCCACGTTGACATAACAAAGGAGAGTCCTGCCCGTCCAAGAGCATATCCAAACAAGTGCTGCACGTTGCTAACATCACAAGCTTCGCCATCGTCAAGCTCGACGCATATCGTTGGCGATGCCAACTCTTAAACCCCCAACAGAGGCGAGTCAAAGCTTCAAACCGAGAAAGACACGGAGCAAGACGGTTGGTCAAAGACTGTTTGGAGCAATAGCGCTGACATGTGAAGATACTCGCTTAGGCAACGACACTCGCTTCGCCGACGACACTTTCGCCAACGACACTTTCGCCAATGACACTTTCGCCAACGACACTTGCTTCCTCCTCAGCTGCGCGGCGAAAGTAGTCAGCGTCGTGCTCGGGCTCGTTCTCGAGAGCAGCAGTAGCCAAATCAGTGCCAACGCCAGAGTCGCTAGGAGGAGAATAGTTCTCCTTCATCTCCGCCTTGACGGCGTCAACGGCTCGAACAATCTCCGACTGTGTTGGCAAGTCAACCTCGCTGTCGGCAGTGGCAGTTGTGACTACGGAGGAGTTGACTTCAGACGGGTCAAGGGTAGCGGTCGGTTCATTGTCCTCTTCATCCGAATATTGCGAACCTTCGGAACCTTCAGGATCTTCGTTGATTGGTTCCTGACCACGAGCGGTAGAGTGAGTAGAACGGGCACCATAAGAGGTGCGACGGTCTTGGTCAATATCACTGCCCGTCATGTAGGAAGTTCCAGAAGCATAGGTATACTCGCTGCCTGTGCCGCCGAAGCTTGAACGCCCATCATAGCCAGGAGTCTCACCCTCGGCGTAGCTCTCAGGGTAGTCATCGACGCTATAGCGGCGTTCAGTACCAGTCTCGCTTTGCGCATCTTCCTCAATCACCTCATGCGAGATAGGGTCCAATGCTTCATTCTCGTCAACTTCAG